CTTGCTGATGCATATGGCGTTTTGCTCACATGCATAATGCATAGATACATCTCACGACGGCGCCTTTCTTGTAGAATTAAGCAAAGCTATGCACATGGTCGACATACATGTGGATCGTCAACATCAAGTCGCATTCCATAACCAAGACCGTCGTCTCTCGCTGGTTTAATCATCTTAATTACAGATCTTTTTTTAATCTGTTCAATGTGTTGGTAAGATGTTGACAAATTATTAGCATGGGTCGGTTAGCACAAAGGCCTTTCCTCTCTCTTCTCTCTCTCTCTCTCAGATTTCAACACCTTTCCACATCGAATTAAGAAGGATAATGTAAAGTAAGCAGCGTGTGGCAGATGAAGTACGTGTGTTTCATACATGGAGATAGCTAGCAATCGATCCCCATGTTTGGTTTGTCGTTTTAGTACCATGCAACGTGCGCCCTCGGGTGTTGGGAACGTCAAACGAGTACATATTTGCCTTCGATGGGAAAGGGGGAGACAAGTTGTTAACATAGCACTGTCGATAAAACGGCTGCTAGCTTTTGTAAAAGAACAAATATTAGCTAGATAACCTCTCCGGGTTAGGGCCCAATGTAACAGGCAAAACCATAGCTTATATTTTTCGGAATTGCTAAATAATTGTCGACAATTTTTTGTTTGCAGAACTATCGATTTGTGAGCCGTTAGATCGGCATCAAGATGCGCACAAGCAGATTGAAAAAAATCACATCCACACTTGTGGGCATGGATCGAACCCACGATCTCATAGGTGCATATGCTTGGGTTCCTAACCAACTAAGCAACAACATGATTCTGAGCAGTTTTTTTGCCAGTTACATAGTAGTTACATTGTACAATGTAACTACGCTGTAATTATATATAGTGTAGTTACATTTGAAAGTTTTTCATCTAAAAAACTGTCGACAGTTTTTTATTTGCAAAACTGTCAATTTGTGAGCCGTTAGATCGACATCAAGATGCGCACAAGCAGATTGAAAAAAATCACATCCACACTTGGGGTCATGGATCGAACCCACGATCTCACCGATGCATATGCTTGGGTTCCTAACCAACTAAGCAACAACATGATTCTGATCAGTTTTTTTGCCAGTTACGTAGTAGTTACGTATATTGTAACTATAGTCTAGTTACAACGTAACTACGCTGTAATTATAGTGTAATTTCAGTGTAGTTACAATTAAAAGTTTTTCATAAAAAAACTATCTACCGTTATATAGCTAATCCCCCTAGCTAGCTAGCTAGCTAGCATGCATGTGAGCCCTAGTGACGTGGAGCAGCTATTGCCATGTATTGTGTCAATTCCCCCTAAATTTAAAATGTGTGGCAATGTCTTATTTAATTAGAAGTAATATTTGGGGTTATATATGTATGAGAAACAAATAGAGACTAGGTTATGTATTACATTGGCTGTTAACCATAGTGTTAAGGTCTTTGCTATTTATTCTTCTTTGAAATATAGTACTAATTTAATTAGGGGTTTTACAACTGTCTAGATGAAAGGAACCATTATAAATGTATCAATCTTTATATATATATAGATGTTAACCGTCATTAAATACTACACAATAAATAGCTTACAACTCGGCAAGCCATGGGGTATATGCCTAGAGCTGTCAAACGAGCCAAGGTTTTTTTTGCAGCCCTACCTATGGCCAGCAAAATAGATCACGTAGCCTTTGCCATCAAGAATAATTAAGCAGGAGGCCATACAAGATAATACCTCTGTTATTTTTTACTTGACGTTTTGGATAGTGATAGAATTTTCAGTGCATCTGTCTTATTATTACCTTTTCTAATTATGCATTTGTAAAACTTATTAAATATATAACAATACATGAAACTATTTTTCATGGTAAATCTGTTAATATCATTTTTACATATTAAATCTTAATATATTTTATCTATTAATACTAAAGAGTTTGAGATTTGACTTCCCGTGTACTAGGATATCATCCGTCTTTTTAAATGGAGGTTAGTAAATAACTAGTAATTAACTGAGCATTACTTATTTTTATGATCAAATCATTAATTAATTATACTTCTGTGGATAATTATATTCTTATATATGTTCTGATCTACGAAGTTAATTCTTATGCTTCCAGTTTTCGCTAGTGTCAAACCCCCTCCGATTCTAAGGTCCTGTTTCATATAGCACCGGATCCCAAATTAATCCACGTTAGATTTAGCGTTTATAAGTTAAATTGAAACGGTTTAAAATTATATGCATATATTTAATATAGGAACAAAATGATTCATTCAAATGTTTAGCAATATAATTACATATTTAGATCCATAGTTTTTTAAGCTAAAAATATCAGCTCTAAATTTTCTGGATCTTAAGCCATGCCAAAGAATGGATATAGTAGGTCGTTTAGTTAGTTAAATCAGATCCATCCTTATTGTGAATCATTTTATAACTTTTGTCTTTTCCACTTCTCTTCTATGCATGTTTGCCTTTACCTAACAAAATACTTTGAGCTACCAGCTTTGTCGTCTTATCATAGATGTAAAGTCACTCACATTTGAAATCAGCGAGTATTTAACTTGGTACATCCACGTGAGATGTCGACATAGTCGACCTGCCAAGCAATATAGGGCAATCACACTGAGCTCGATCGTTGGCAAAACTAAAATTAATATTTACATATACTATCCAATAAGTAAAACATAGAGTAGGTGAAGACTAATTGTACCTTCTCGAAGAAACAAGTCATCATGGAATAAAAACACACACCAAGAAAGAATCAAGACGCTACCTAGCTAGCTTCTCTCTTTGCAGAAAGCAAACAAAAACCCCACCAAAGAAAAGAAATGTCATTAACCCTCTCCTGTGGACCAGCGTAGTTAGAATGTTGCATCAGTGTGATATATGGCCACTGGAATCATTTGAAGGTCCTTGTACCGTGTGTAAGTTGCACAAGAAAATACGGAAGAAAACAACAGATCGATGAGCGTGTAGACTCGTGTAGACTCATCAGACAGTGATTTCGTAATATTAATTAGCTGCATTTCTTAAGGGGGAAATTTTTTTATAGATATATTTAACGTATATTTCATATTATGAACTAGGGAGTGTGTCAATTAATAACAAGGATATCGTATTGGATGGAACTTATTTTTTCTATTTTCTTACATCGATCAGATGGTTTGTATAAATTGGAATAAAATTAATTGAGAATACATATAAAGAAAAAACATATTCCCTTGCAAACATTGTACATCAGATATATCAACTTTTTTTCTATTACAGGGTATATGCGCACACGCATTTGCATGTGTTTAAGATCTTTGTGGGCATCAAAATTTAAACCCCAGTGAATGGTATATAATACAACTTGAAAAATATGCGTTTTGATACTTATTCTAGTAGAACATATTCATTATATTATTAAACAAGGGTGGAAAGAGACATTTTGCTCCAAACCATATTAATCAGAGAAAAAAAAAGTTAGATAAAGACCGATAATCATGGTAAGTAAAGACTATAACATTGTATTTATGAAAACATAAGTAAAATTCATATGTCATAACCAATTCTTTTTTTTACTTGAATCCAATTATACTTTTAGGTCTCCTTTGAAATGAGGGATTGTGAAAACATAGAAATAGAAAAAAAATGCAAAGATAGAGTATCATGTCTGTCGTTGAATTCCTATATGATTTTAAGATCACAGGAAAATTCCAAGACTATTGTTTGGATGATTACACGCATGAAATTACAGGAACTTTATCATTGGAAGGAAAAAAAACATGATGCAGAACCTCATTTACTTCAAAATTTCTAGTCCATCCGTCCTGAAATATAAGCCTTTAGAATTTGTCTCAAAATATAACAACTTCTCCACCAATATTCTTTTTTCAACCATTTATAATCCTCCACCATTCAATTTTCCCACCTACCTCTACTTCTTCTCCAATCACAACACTCCCCCATTTAATTTTACCAATTTTCTTAATAACCGTGTCGAACTCTAAAAATGTTTATATTCTGGGAAGGATAGAGTATTGAATAGCCCATTCGATAAGAATTTTAGAGAATTTGAGAGAACTATCTATTTATTCCAAAGAAGCGCATTTTTTTCATAGGAAACAAATTCTCCAAAATTCCTCTGGTTTTTGTTTGTTCCAAATGAGCACTAAAGCTTTAAAACTTGTAGAAAAACCCACAAGTTATATCAAGAGCAAAAAGAATCCATCATGCTTGTTCGGATGAACATCTCACAATTATTTGTATTTACAGACTGTATCTGATGATTTTTTTTCGATAAGCTAGCTATAGTGCGGTTATTGCTCGTTACTCTCACAAACGACTTACATAAAGTAACAGAGGTAATAGAAGAAAACTCCAATTTCAAATTGAAGCATTAAGATTTTTTTTCATTTTTTTCTCTTAATTAATTACTCCATCCGTCCTAAAATATAAGCATTTTTAGCCGTGTCCAGATTCATAGCTATAAGTTATTATATTTTGAGACGGAGATAGTACTTAATTAGAATCAAAGTTTTTACATATATATGCGCGAAAATCTCGTCAGCTAGCGTACGTCTAGACTAGACCGCGTAATAACAGCATGAGATTATTGACTAGCACGGTAAAACAAAAGCCACAAAAAAATAAATTCACAAAGCCTGAGATTGTAATTGAAGTCGTCGTCGTGTCGTCCTCCGGCGCCAACTTGATCCCAACTGAAATTGACTTCCTTGACCAAAAACCTCTTCTCTGATCTCTCACGTATACGTGTATATATAGCCACGTGTAATTACCGATCTGCCCCTCCCAGCCCACGTCATGCAGAGCTCGGCCCGGCCCACCTGTCATGCTGACGTAGCACCTGACGAGGCCTGGCCCACCCCTCCTCCGGCTCTCCCGATTGGTCCACGCGCTCACACGAGTTTACACTTATGCCCCTGGGTTTATTTTATTTTTATTTTCACGGTGCAGTCCAAAGTCCAAGTCCTCGGATCAGCCTTGGGCGAAACTTTGACCCCTAAACTGATAAAGCCCATAGCAATTCTTGCCATTTTGGAGCGGTGCAACTTTTTGCCATATGGAGCTCAGGCCGCCGCCGCCCAAGCACCACCACCACCGCCGCCGTCGCGGCGGCGGCGGCGAAGACGGCGGGGAGGAGGAGGAGGAGGAGACTGGCCGCCTGTCGCTGCGCGGCGGCGGCTTCTGGCGGCGCCACGACGGGGAGGAGGAGGAGGAGAAGGGCGGCGGGAGGAGGGGCGAGATCAAGGAGGTGGACTTCTTCTTGGGCGCCAGCGGCCGCGATGTCGTCGTGGCCTCCCGGCGGCACGACGACGGCTTCCGCGGGACGACGCATGGCGGCGGCGGTGGCGGCGACGTCAACGTGAGTTCGCCGGCGTTGGACTAGAGTAGCTGAAACTTGAGCTCTTGATTGATTGGTTGCTTAATTGATCTGCAGATCGGGCTAGACTTGCTGACCACCACCACCGCCGGCGCGGCGGCGGGTGGTGCGGCGGCCGGCGCCGGCGAGGAGGACACGGGGAAGAATCATAGAGTTAGTTGATTTTGTCGATACCCTTGTGTACTCTTCCATTCCTCTTGGTTTTTAATTAAATTAATTGCTTGTTGTAGCTTAAATTATTTGGTGTGATCCCTTGTTGGCTGACACGTATACTTATCCATGTGATCTAGAAGGAGGCGACGACGGCGGCGGTGGATGTGGAGCTCCGGCGAGTGGTGGAGGAGAACCGGCGGCTGCGGGGGATGCTGGACGAGCTCAACCGGAGCTACAGCGCGTTGTACCATCAGTATCTGCAGGTCACGCAGCAGCAAAACCATCGCCATCCTGATCATCACCTGATTATGAACAACAACAACAACCGGCCTTCACTAGCTCAAGTGAGTACCTTAGCTTCTTGTTCTACATGTTATTATCATCACAAGCATATGCACATAAAAATGTTCCCCTTAATTATCCCGGTAAATGGATGCATGGATGCACCTTGCTTAGATCTTCATTTCTTGATTCCCATTTTGTTTTTTCGGGGCAAGGATTTCTTGATTCCTTGATTGTATTTGCCTTTCCTTAATTATTTTCAAGAATTCTTATTTTGGGTAGTTTGTTCCTCTGTTGATCTTTCAGATTCAATTTTAAGGGTATACCTAGCCGGACTTTTTTGTGCACAATTAATGGTGTTATTGGTTTTATCCCCCCCTGGTTTATTATATTTTCTGAATTCTCAATGCACACGTACACATTGGAGATCGAATTGTCTAGTGACAACAATTGGAAGGCATGTGTAGATTTTTCCCCATGATCAAGATCTCTGGTGCAATAATGTACAGGTCACCAAAAGCACACACACCGATGTAAGATCCTGTAGATCAAACGAGCTTATGTCAATGCCTCGGTCTGCTAATTAATTAACTGATTAATCTTATAGAAGCCTGACACTTTCCAAAGCAAATCTTTCCGAACATGATGGAGTAGAATTACTGAATTAGATATTATAAAATGGGCATAGTAGTTACAAACATATATGAGCATGGGCAGAGCATGGCATCAACTCTTGATCACTTGCAAGTATTATAAGCTTCGGGGTAGTATATTACATTATTTCCTCCGAAACTATCGGGATTTTCCCAAATACTACACTGTTTAATCCGTTTTAGGTACTTCCTCCGTTTCACAGTGTAAATCATTCTAGCATTTCTCACATTTATATTGATGTTAATGAATTTAACATCAATACGAATATGAAAAATGCTAGAATGACTTACATTGTGAAACGGAGGGAGTACTAAATAACTTTGGCTTTCATTAATTGTCCATCCGATTAATCCTTTTTGAACGATAGGCAGGTATACGATTAATCATCATCATTAATGCTGTAGCTCACAATTAATCGTGTGAACAATGTTCCAAAAGTCTCCAAGCGTTAGATCCCTTCCCAACTGCTTAGCTTTGCTTTGCTTTGCAGAGGACGGACATGTACTGTACAGTGACACACTAACACGAGAGCTAGCTAGCTAGCTAACAAAGCTAACTACTACTGCTACTTATAACTGTAGGAGTAGTAGTTAGCGTGTGCTAATCTCATGCACGTAATTTTCATTTGCCCCTGCTCGCTTTCGCCCTTCCTTTTGACTAACGAACACACCACGTACTAACTACGTACTTGTTGATCCTACCAAACATCGACGCAGACACACCGGACCGCGGCGACGACGACGGCGACGACGCAGCAATTCCTGGAGCCGCGAGCGTCGTCCACGGCGCAGGCCACCGCCGACGCGGACATGGCAGCGTCCGACGACGAGGCCGGCCGCGGCGGCGGCGACGGCGACGCGTCGTCCCCTTCGCTGAGCAACGCCGCCGGCGGCGGCGGCGGCGGCAACAAGATGAGGAGGGTTGGTGGTCAAGACGAGACTGCGGCGGCGGCGCCGGCGAGGGAGAACGGCGAGCAGCAGGCGGCGGCGGCGGCCGAGCTGCCGTGCCGGAAACCGAGGGTGTCCGTGCGTGCGCGATCCGAAGCACCAATGGTACATATACACTAGTAGCAGTAACTATGTTTTGATTGAGATGATCTAGCTATATATATATATATATATATCATGCATGCATGTCATGGCAACATTATTTAATTTTCTTTGATTTGAACATTGCCTGCAATTTAATTCATTAATTTGTTCAGTCAAAACAAAATTAAACATGGCCGGTATAGAGTATAGACAACAGAAAGCGATTGATTTTACTTCTAGAAGTGTACACATGAAACAAATTGTTGTTGTTATTGAATTTACAATTACAAATCCAAAAGATGGGACGACGTACGTCGTTGCTAGTTTAATTATTTTGACCTTTTGTTGCTCTTGCATTCAATTAATGATGAGCAACTATTGAACTCCTGCAGATTAGTGATGGGTGCCAATGGAGGAAGTACGGGCAGAAAATGGCAAAGGGGAATCCATGCCCGCGAGCGTACTACCGATGCACAATGGCTATCGGATGCCCAGTCAGGAAGCAGGTAACTAAATTAATATATATGCATTCTCATAATATGCGTTTTCTTGTGTAGCTTTAATTAGCATGGCGCTATATATAAAAACCAGCTGAAATTGGAATTCATATATTTTTTAAAAAAAAATTAAAGATGTTTGACATAGTAATTATATTGATGTGATCCATTTTTTTGGAACATTGAGACGCAAGTTAAATTTATATTAGTTATATATATCTTCCGTTCGATCTCCCTTTTTTAAAAAAAAATTGTGGTCGATCTCACTATATTAATGGCGCTCACCACACGCAATCTTCAAAAGGAAAAAGAATTCCTTGGGATTTTCTTACTCCATTAATATGTGTCTTGACTCTTTGTTAACGGATTTCTCATCTTATCGATAAACAAATCGTTAGCTCTCCCCGTCAAAAAAGAAAACAAATTATTAGCTCTGGTTACGTGTTTTCATTGCCCCTCACAAACTATATATCTGCATATCGATCGGTTATTCAAACTGGAAAATATAACAAGCTAGCTAGGGACGTCCTCTTTGACCGGCCGGTTAAGCTTAACCGATCTCACTACATGAAAAACGGATAGCTGATTTGATATGTGTTTGCCCGATAACCGATCTCAACACACATGCAAACTGGAGGACCAACTGATTATAAATTGCCTTTAATTTGATCTCCTACGATCTTTGCACTGTCACACACACACACACACACACACACACACACACACACAAAAGTACCTGTTCTCTGACACATATATCGATTAACTAAGCAAGGAATCATGATACTGTTGACTTTCAACACGTCTAGTAAATGATCGTGTAAATATCAATTCATGTTTATACACGTCTATATATATTGAAGAATACTTCCAATAGTCCATATGTACTGATGTGAACTCATGCATCCAGTGAGAATTCAGCATCTCTGCATCCTTCCTTGCATACGCTAGATATGACTCCTATCATTGCATGGACTTGCATATATTTATGTTTCTCCATCTATCCAGCTAGCTGTATACCCATAGCAGTACTCCTACATAATATGCGCACACAAAACTAGCTACGAGCTGTGCACACAATATATATATATGCTGCGAGGAGACACGTATGTTTCCGTTGTTTTCCGTGCTGACATGACGAGATAGAAGACAAGAGGAAAAACTATCAAATCAATTTCCATTGTTTAATACTAGTTCATTTTTGTGAGATATACTCCTTCCGAGCTGATAATACTTGTTATTTTAGACAAGGTTGATGTCAAACTTTAAAATCTTTGGTTATGAATAATTTCTAAAATATTTGTCTTTGAAATATGGTGACTATATATATAGAATAGTCTTAAAAAATACTTTCGTAAAATCATATAGTTGTTAACATCTATATACATATTATAATAAAAAATAATGGTCAAAGTTAGTTTTTGAAGACTGTGCCATTATCCAAAACGACAAGTATTATTAACCCGAAGGGAGTAGTACGTACGTGGTTATAAAAATAAGATGCCAATGCGTTTTTAAACTTTTTATAATAAGTATCGGATTTGCTAAATGCCTTTAGCAAGAAAAAGGGGAGTGAAATCTTATGGTCTCTGGACCGTTGGGTTCACGCTAAGATGTTGTGTCCGAGATGCTCCTCCTTTAGCTCCAAAGAACTCCTCTTTCTCTGGCGTCAAGGACACCAACTTTGTCATAGTACCTATACGGACTAGAGGTTTGGAATTGGGATAGGGGTAAGAAGAGAGAGTGAGTTGGAAAAAGGGAAGAAAGGGGTATCCTGTCTTGAAGAGATGGCTTCGTGGACAATGGTCAGACCAACGGTGAGCGACGAACACAGATAGGTGGTAAGGCAGTGGCGCTATACCACCGGAGCAGGGCTGGAGCTGTGGCGGATCCAGGATTTATGTGATGGGTATTCGGAATTCTAAAATAGCAGATATATCGATACCGATTGACACATTGAATGTACGATACATTATTTTGATGCATAATCTTTACTACGAATTGTGCGCATATATAATAAAATATATAGAAACATTTATAATTTCCTATAATCAGCATCAAACATATTTCTATTGATCTAAGTATGAGTGAAGAGTACCAAAGAATTCGGAATTTTTGGAGATTGTATAGCATAGGTCGACAACTTTATGTAGTAAAAATATTCTGATTTATTGCTAATGAAGGAAAACACTCATAAACCACGAAGAAACTAGTAGCTAGCAAAGGAATATAACTTATTTCCGTAGGACAATTGATATCAATTAGACAACAACATGTAGAGAAAAACAAATGAGTGGGCAATATATAGATGTATATACAATTTGCAAAGATAACTATTTCCTCCGTTTCATAATGTAAGACTTTCTAGCAGTGTCCACATTCATATAAACGTTAATGAATCTAGACACAAAATCTTACGTTATGAAACGGATGAAGTAGGCATTAAAGTAATTGCTTATTAATTGCCACAACCAAAATGTAAACAAGAAAATTAAATTAGCATGAATACAACCCATCCCGAAATTGCTCCAGGCCAAGCACGCTTAACCTCATAGTTCTTTCGCGATCAGCTTCCGGAAAAAAAGTTGCAACTTATTGATATGAGTATCCTATCAATCCTATTAAGCCATGTGCTAGGATGTCACAATATATTACAAAAGAAAGGGAGGGACTAGGAAGACTATTGATCTTATTGGGCTGAGGAGAGCTAGAAAAGGGTGGAATTGAATTGTTAGGGTATAAATATCACAAATCTAGATAGAGTATGGTAGTACATATATATTATGGTCAATATATATTAGGTTTGTGTCCAAAATTCATGGGTATTCAGCTGAATACCCATGAATTATGTGGGATCCGCCCCTGGGCTGGAGGAGGGCAATGGACGAGTCGGCAGAGTGATTAAGAGGCGGGGCAGTGGTGATGTCTCCGTTGGTGGTGAGCCGCCAAAGAAAAGGGCGGTGGGGCACCTCGTCACCGCTCGGTTGAGGAGGAGCAGGACGACATGGCGTTGATGGTCCGGTTGACGCCTTTTGGTTTTGTCAATGTTAAGGGGCAACCCGCTGGGCAGGGGAGGTGGCGGCGATGGTTGAGGAGATGGTGACGCCACGACTTGCGAGAGGAACTAGGGGAGGAGAGAAAATATGATTAGAGTGGTAACTGGTACTATAGCTACATGAATTCTTGGTGTGATCTAGACCATCTAAATGTAGCTAATTCAGATGAGATAGGCAGATCAGGAAGTATTTAACATTTGAGAAACGAGAACCCTCAAACTATATATGAAAACCAACTTCCGAAAGGAGTCTAATATACTTGCCTTAATTAATTACTCCATCCGTTCCAGGTTATAAAACGTTTTGACTTTGGAAGTTAAACTGTTTTAAGTTTGTCTAATTTTATAGACAAATATAGCAATATTTATAATACTAAATTAGTGTCATCAAATCAATAATTAAATATATTTTCACAATAAATTTATCTTGGGTAAAAAATGTTACTACTTTTTTCTATAAACTTGGTCAAACTTAAAGCAGTTATAACCTAAATCGGAGGGAGTACATAGTTACATGATTGCATGCGGCCGGTGATGCGGTGCCCGATGCTGCATGCATGTATTTGCCTTCATTAGTGCATGCGAGAAAGATGCATGTAACTAGCGCACACATTGGTAAGTAGCACAGTAATTGACATGGGAGTGGATTCTAAGAGCAGGTACAATAAGATGGTAGATGCTGGCGATAGGACGACCATGTCAGTGTTGATGCTTAGCTAGAGGTGAAAAAGGTGGTGAGAGAGATTAACGGGCGACTAATTAGGGCAAGTGCTATGGTAGATGTGACTACCACCTCCAAATTTATCTATTTTATTCACTCATGAACTAAGAGGCAACCCATACAATGTATCACCTCTAACACACAAATACCAATATCTCTAATACTCTCACACACTTCTTAAAATTTGTGTGGAGGTTGCCTCTTGATTTAGGGGTGGTTCATCTTCTCTCTCTCCACTTCTCTCCTCCACTCATCACCCAATCCATTGTGGCATTCTTAGGGGCAACATATGAGATATTATAGTACTTGCCCTTAGTCGCTAGCTGCTCACACTATCCAAGGCAAAGTATTTAACTGCTGTTGGCTGCATGCTATGGCAACGCAAGAAGCTGGGTGGGGTCACCTCATTCTACCGCATGCATTTGTTCATGGTTGATGGGAACTGTGTAGCAATAGAAGATAGTAGATATCTATTGTATGCACTAGCTATTAGCACTAACTATAATTTGCTGATGTGGTTATTTTTGTAGCCTTTAGCTAGCTATTTACTATTGACCTTGCTCTAATCCTCCAGGGGATTTTCTTTTAAATTCGATGCATGCAATTAGTTGTGAAAAATTGTGAAAAAAATTGATAAATTAGAGTATAGTGATATGTACTAATCCAAAAATCAAATTTAAATTAGACCTACACATCGAGAAAAAAAAAGATAAATTGAGATACGAATAGTACGCTACTATTTATATATTAAATGCATATATCATCTGTGTGCAGGTGCAACGGTGCGCCGAGGACAAGACCGTGCTGATCACCACCTACGAGGGCAACCACAACCACCAGCTGCCGCCGGCGGCCACCACCATGGCCAACACCACCTCCGCCGCCGCGGCCATGCTCCTCTCCGGCCCGGCTGCCAGCCGCGACGGCGCCGCCGCCGCCCTGCTCGGCCACCACCACCACCACCACCCGGCGGCGATGTTCCACCAGTCCTTCCCCTACGCCTCCACCATGGCCACGCTCTCCGCCTCCGCGCCGTTCCCCACCATCACCCTCGACCTCACGCAGACGCCTGCCGGAGGCGCCGGCGCCGCCAGCCTGCTGCACGCGCTCCACCGCCCGCCGGTCATCCACCCTGGTGCGGCTGCCCAGGCGATGCCGTTCGCCGTGCCGCCGCAGCTGGCGATGTACCTCCCGCAGCAGAGGGCGGCGGCCGCGGGGCTGGGCGGCGCCGGCGCCGCCAGGCAGCCGTCGGTGATGGAGACGGTGACCGCCGCGCTCGCCGCCGACCCAAACTTCACGACGGCGTTGGCGGCCGCCATCTCGTCCGTCGTGGCGGGAGGGGCTCATCATCAGGCTCTGTCCACCACACCCCGTGGCAGCGCCGCCGGCGCCGGAGACGGCAACGGAAACGGGAGCTCCGCCGCGGCCGTCGCCACCGGCGCCGCCTCGCCGGCGGCGACGGCCGAGGCACCTGCGGCGTCCGGATCACCTCCTCGGCTCGCGACGCAGTCCTGCACCACGTCGAATTGATCGATCACAGAGACATACGTGACATATATCATATACTAGTATGAATCATTCATGCGTGCACGCATGCGTGCATGACGCCCACACATACTTGACATACATACCGTTTTTTGTTTTGAGATTTGAGATCGATACATATACTTCTTGTATTATGTACAGTAAAACGTATGGAGTAAATAGTAGTTACTAGTAGATGAATTGATTATATACACACAGAGTTACTGAGAAATTAATTAATATCACTGTCTTAGTGTCTTTATTAATTAGGTTTATTTCATTCATATTGGGGAATTTCCTACAACATGCTACAAGCATTGCTGTACGGTACTGACATAACCGACTGAGATGCAAACGTTGTTTAGTGGACTGGGCCAGCTCAGTTTTCGGCCCACACTACGAACGCAAATATGCGTCCAACTGATCAAATTAATTAACATGGACGCCGTTGATTTCGATCCATGATCTCCCTTAGGCTTTGTTGGGGAACATTACTACACCAGCGGGCGGACGGATGGAAGGCACCGCCGAGATCGAGACGCGATGAATCCTCTTCTCATTTTAAAGTCCAAATATACCCCCCAAACTTTTGGTTGAATTTCGTCTACCACCGTGAACTCTAAAACCGGACATGCAACCCCGTAAACTTTGTCATACCATCCATATTATCCTCTAAGATGGTTTTGTGAATTTTGAAAGCTTGAACGAACAATTTTCAATAACTAATATAACATATTTGCATATTATCAATTACAAGTAATCAATTTATTCGTATACAGTGATATTATAATATTATTATGTTGGCATTTATTTGAAAATGAGAGCTAATAAGGAGAAAAAGAAAGACTTAAATCAAAATTTTAATATATGTGCCTAAAGTGTATGACATGTGATCAAACTCATCTAACTTATATACAAATTAGATAAAATCACTATGCAAAACCATCTTAGGGGTTATATAAACGGTATTGTACGTAAAGTTTAGGGGGTTGAACATCTGATTTCAAAATTCAGGGTGCTAGATAGACTTCCATATAAAGTTTAGGGGTTATTTGGACTTTTTCCTTTTTCAAATAAAACCGACCGAAAGGGAGCTAGGCGGCCGCACCAAATGCTGGAAGTTCAGGTCTGGTCGGGGTTACAAACGGCGTCCACACCTGGACGCTACAATAGCCAGCATCCATCCTATAATTAAAATTTTCATATATGATTTACTACATATTTGTAATTAATGGGTTATTAATTATCTCTAATAATATAAAAAGTACCCGTTCATCAAACACAATCTCTTCTTCCATTCGCCCAGCTGAAAGTTCGTTCTCCTGCGCCTGATTTGCATTCAAGAGACTTCATTACCCTGTCTTGTCAAACCCAACCTCTAGCCGCACCCGTATCCAATGGCATTCACTCTCCACGTCTCAAATCTCCTTTCTGCCCTCCCTTGCCCTTGCCCGCCTTTACTTGGCTTAACTCCCCTAAACCTACCGCTCACTCCTTTCAAGCTACTCTTCTTGCCCACCCAACTCCCAGTCTTTTTCCTCCTCGCCCTCAACCCTCGAAAACCAAAACCACTCGCCCCAAGCCCATGCTGGATCGCTGCTTCCGTTATCCTGCTCGTGACCACTAAGTCAAGAAGTGCAGAGACTCGTTGATCTGCGCTGCTTGCTGCCTCTCCTGGCACCGACAAGACTCCTACCGATCTTCTGTAGGCTCAAACTCCACTCCCAGACAACCACCTTCCTTCCCCAGCCTCCGCTCGTGCCACCTAGCATCCTTTGCCGCTCATTGGGTGCGCAAAACCTCCTCCCAGAAACCCCACAAAACCTCGCTTCCCCACTGCCCCAGGGGAGGAGGTAGAGTATGGGAGGGGAGTACCCAGGAACCTCGTCAAGAAATATTTTTAGCTATACATCACCTATTTTCACCATATGTACACCCCTCTCAATACAAATTTAGACACCCGCATCAACTTAAACTTGATCTAAAATAGAGTAAATCAAGCAAGAGGCACCCTCCTCCATTTCGTTCTAGCTCCGCCCCTGCACTGCCCCTTACCCTAGCTCCACCAAAACCCTAATGGCGGACAAGGCAGTGACTGCATCAGATATGGCGGTGATCCCTCTGGAAGTGGTCATTGGTCTGCTTGAAGCCAGCCTGGCGAGGGGCTCCCCCCCCCCCCCCAGCTACTGACGGCCTGTCTGCTGCTGCTAGTGCGACGGCTGAACTCACCTCGGCTGTCCCCATCCCCGCGCCTTCTACTGCTAAAGCCCTAGCGCGTCGGCTGATGGTTTGACGGCCGATCTCCCCACTGGCTCTTCCCAGCTGGGGGATTTGCCTGTCGTGCCTGCCTCTCTGACCGCCTCTCAGGGTCTGGTCGGGGAAGGGGCTCCGCTGGCCTTGGTCCCGGAAAGAGACCTTGTGCCCTCCGCTTCTCCTCCTCCGCTAGAACACCAGAACTCCTCCACTTACAGGCGTAAAAACAAGGGCATTCTTTCCATTGTGGGTGCCAACCCCTCTCTCCTGGAGCACGTGCCTGAGGTTGCACCCCCTCCCCCCCCCCCCCAGGATGTCTTTGTCCTGGGGAGCCCTAGTGCCTCTCACCCCCTTTCTCCCCCGCCACAACTACTCACAACTCTCGGTCCCTCCCTCCAAAGAATGAAGCCCCACCTACCCCCTTGGCCACTCTGATCGGCTGTGCTCTCTCTGGCATTCCTCTGGGCACAAAGCATCCCTCTCATGGCTCAGATGACGATGAGATTGAGTATGCTTCAAGGGACACTCCTGGGGGCTCTGGTCCTGCACAAGCAGAACCCCTTCTTCCGACAAATCTGGCAGAAGAAGATTTCCAAGACGCCTTCATTCTGTTTGTTGACATGCGTATCACTGCGCATTTTGCCACGGCTTACAACACCCCGGCCAGTGACACTCCTGCCCGGATCATCACGAAAACTATGGAAGCGGCTCATCCTACCGCCACCTTCAAACTGGTTGCCTCCTCTCGGGGCACCATGGCTCTTCGCTTTGCCAGTCGGGCTGACAGAGAGACTGCCGTCTTGAACCAGGAAGGTCTAGAGGTGAACGATCACATTGTGATCATGGAAAGGCCAAAGGCTTCTATCCAAAATTCAATCTAATTTTGGAAATTCCAAGGGTAGGATAAAGGTGACATACAAAAGAAAGAACTAAGATACTCTCACTAAAATATAATCTAAGCTAAGTGGAGAAAGAATAAGAAAAAAATCCATTCATATACTTCTAGTATACAAACATCTTTAGTCTATACTAGCTAGTATATAGTCGTGCAACCAATACCCCTTAACAGTGCTCTCCTGGTGTTTCGAGATGACCACCCCTGATTGCCGAGTTCCTTATGACAACCTGTTATGGTTGTCCAACCGGGGCTAAATACGGAGGAGTACCCTCCCCAGAAAAGTGTCTTAGGAGTATATACTAACGTGGAGGAATACTCATACTGAGCTGTCACCATCAGCGATCCGCCTACTGTCCCGCACCATATATGCCCAATTAATGATATCTAATAATTCTGGTCAATGATATCTAATAATCTAAGCACCAGGCTCATATTATTAAATACTACTCTACATCCGAGCTCCCGACCTTGATGGTGATGTAATTTCATCATTTTGCTCTGAACCAAGACAAATGTTACTTTCTTATTTTTTGTGAAATTAGTTGTTAAGAAGATTTGGAAGCTAGAGAAAAATATTTGTAGAACATGTTGATGCCATTTTTCCAATCTAATAGTGGATTAGAGTTTCCACCTTTTGCTGATGAACTGATTAAAGTTACAGTAACTGGTTAGAGTTTCCACTGCATCTCCTACAGTAAATGATTAAAGCTTCTAAATTACTGATGAACTGAACTCTAAAATATTTACCTTTCTCAGCATAGCAGTGTTTGGGATGCAACACCATGTGAAGTGCAGTTAGACTGAATTTTGGAGATAAATTACTGAGGTGCTGAACTCTAATTGTGAATGCCTTTGTACTTTTTGTTCTTTTAACCCTGATGGATGATGTTTGTAAGAGAAGTACATATGCAGTGCTATTTCGGTGACCAAGGTTCAGATCAAATCATATAAAGTAAGGCTCTAAAAGTCATATAAAATACTATGATTGTTTTCCTTTTTCTAAAAAAAAAAACCCCTCAGGTTTGCATTTTGGATTGCATCTCAGGCTACTTTGGCTGCTGCTCTAGGTAATTTGCTATCATTGCTCGTTGGTCTGTGTTTTGTAATCCAGTCTTTAAGATTTGTAAAGGATAAGATACAATCTCAGGTAAAAGATTCATGGATGCTAGCCAATTTTAACTGCGTAAATTGACATCGACAGCGGCATTGAATCATTGGCAAATTAATAGATGATTACACTGTAATATAGATTATATATAGTAGTAGATAATTCATGTTGTCCTTGCACCTGCAGAATTTATTTGTTATAATCAAATGCAAATGGGAGTATTAAATACTGGAGGTTGCATAAAGGACTAACCACAGTCCAAACATTCAGATATATGTTGCTGTTAGATTGCGTCTCTGGATTTCTTCAGAGTCTGAAATTTTCTTAGGTGCTTGTGCCAATCTTACATGGCCTTTTATTGCTTCTCATATTGGGAAGTATAGTTCTCTGGTATGCCCTACTCTTAAATGTTCTTTTCTTTGTAATTTCAGGTTGTTTTTGTTCTAATGGTCTCTGAGAATTGATTTTGCTTGACTGTGTGCCTTTTGCAATCTTTATGCTCTGTAATCTCGAAGGATACACTGTTAAATTGAGTTTTATGGGTCTAAGTATAAATGGGCTGTTTATATAGAACGTCAACATTATTACTCTGTTTGCCGCTGCATAAATTTCCAGGGGTCAAAACATCCATTTAGCTTTTATTGGCATGAATCCAATGATTTTCAGGGTTCAAAAAATAACACCAATTTGGCGTTTATGACTGCAGAGATATGATAAGTTCATTTTCACTGTCCTTATTAAATTTTCAAATGAATCAGCATTGATCTGAACTCTGATGTACGCATTTCCTATTTTTGGCTTTTTTCAAAACATTGCAACCTTTCGGAATTAGGTAGTGGTACGTCCACCTAAGCATGTTGCCCAGGGTAGCTAAGCATGTTACCATCATTTAGTACGCCCAACTGATTCCATGATAAATAATGAGAGTCCATCTCTGAAATATATATTGAGATCAGTTACTATTTTCAATTTTTCATCCTGAATTTTGAAGACTGCAGATCATGAATGGCAGCACAGTTTCCTGAACTTTCGTTGCCTGAACTCATAGAGAAAAATGTACATTCTTACTCCTGCACTTTCTTGAATGCTTTCTCTGTCGCCTATACATATTTCTTCATGTATCATTTATTATCTGGGACGAGGTGTTGATTGCTGGATTTGGACATAAGGGCCATGCTGTGGGAGATATTAATGGTGTCTGATTCAAGGTTGCCAAAGTTCTATTCAAGGAGGAGGAGAAGTCGAGGTTTCATCATCTTGGTTAGCAAGCTTGGAATAGATATATTTAAGTGTATTGTTTGTATTGTTAATTTATTATTCTGTTGTAATAACAATGGCTTGTCAGATTTTTTTTCTTCTCTTCACTCTGTTGAGTTTTATTCCTCGATCAGTGTATTTGGCTTTTACAAGTTCTAATTCTTTTCCTATTTTAATTCAATCTTCCTTGGTTATAACAAACTGTACTAAGCCTACCATGAAAAGTTGTTACATATTGATATCACATTCATATATTTTACTAATACCTCTTAGCCCACTACCGCCTCTCCAAAAGAATCTGGGACGCTGTACGTGATTGGTCACTCCTTCATATCCAACCATCGGAATGGGCCAATGTTGAAACAGTACAAGATTGGTGAATTCAAATCACCTCAGCACAAAACATGCCAAAGAAAGCTCTCAAGTTGATAATTATACTTGTTGCATGGGAATTATGGAAGAAAAGGAACTCAAGGATCTTCAGTAACCTTGCAAACACTCCGGCCTCCATCATGGCAAAAATAAGAGCGGAAGTGCACAGGTGGCTAATGGTGGGGGCAAAGTGCCTAACAGAGCTCTACCCGTTATGTGAGCAGTCCTTTTTACTCCCTTGGTCTGGGATGACCCTAACTCCCATTTCCTTATATCTATGGATTCTACTTCTCTATCAATATATAAGGCAAATTTCTTGCCTTCCTTTTCAAAAAATATATATATATATTACTAATATTTCTTGATTGGCATATACATATGTCCCGTTCGAACAGTACGGCCACGCAAAACGAAAAAGTCAATAGCGCATGATTAAACGATTTTTAATTATTTCAAACTTATTGGATTTATCTAATATTTTAAAGCAACTTCTAAATAAAAAAGTATTTTTTAATAGTTTAAAAAAGTGCTAATGGAAGCGGAAGTAAAATCTGTATCTTAATCAGAAAAGAACCAAACCATAATGTACATGTTTGGTTGGATATTTGGTTTTGGAGATTTTTCAACATTTATATCGCTAACATATATATCATTTTCTTTTGGTTGTCTGTTTTTACCAGGTTCACTTCCTGATGACCCTACACAGCTACTCTCTCCGTCCTAAAAAAGACCAATCCTAGCATCCCAATGTAAAATTAGTGGGGAGAAAAAAAATGTCCAAAATAGCTCATTATTGGAAAAAGTAGTAATTGTGATAGGTAGGTGAATGGTATTTAAGGGATAAAATTTCTCGTTGTATGTGTTGAGGGTAGGTAGGATGGTAGAAGTTGGTTTTTTGTGGGACAAAATTCAATCTCCAAAAGTTGGGTTTTTTTAGACGAAGGAAGTACTATGAATTATATGAATTATAGTTCTTTCATTGATGTCTTGATAAATGTGAATCAGGACTACAATATCCAAGGTTCTGCCTATATCTCAAATACCGAACTCTAGGTCTGCTATCTTGTATCCTATTAGACCACGTGGCAACATATATTTTCAGCTAAATACCATCTAGAAATCTGCCATGTGTCCTCATCATGGTCACAACTCACAAACAGTTCCCACCGAATGTGCTAGAGCTATTGTGCCTACCGGTCACATGCTGCTCCCTCCGTCCCAAAAAAAGATAAACTATGGATTCTTGTGCTAATGTTTGACTATCCGTCTTATATGAAATTTTTTTATAATTAGTATTTTTATGGTTGTTAGATGATAAAACATGATTAATACTTTATACGTGACTTATCTTTTTTATTTTTTTTTATAATTTTTTTAAATAAGACGAACGGTCAAACGTTGGACATGGGAATCAGGTTTGTCTTTTTTTTTTCTTTGGGACTGAGGGAGTACTACTTGTCTTAAAGAATACCAGTGAACAGATGATGTGTCTTAATAAAATGAATAGTTAAATTACTTGGCTCTTGGGAAATATGAAGGGGCAACTCATTTACAGGGATAAGCTAATAAGGCCATCGGTTTGGAAGGTATCAACCAGATTATGAGTATTTGGAAGATATTAAGATGTAAAATTAATTCCCTTCAATCCTTTTCCATCATGATTAAATGAATAAGGTCTAAAGAATACTCCCTCCGTTTCAGTTTAATAATTCCCTTAGCAATGGGCATCAAGACCAATGATATCAAAACATCCATCATTCTAAAATTAATCCTCATCGATCAAGGTGCACTTTCGCTTCATGTTTAAAAAAAATTAATTCACACTTTAAATATTGCATGAGTTGAAAAATAGAAAATAATTATGGTTGGCTACATGCATACAGAGCATTCCACAATGCACATTTACTCTTTCCACAAATAAACAAAGAGACATTTCGAGGAAACATCAAAAACCTTACATGATGATTAAACTGTGATAGAGAGAAAACCTCAAAAAGCTATATATTAGATATAACATATCAGCTCACACCTTTTCCCGCCTATTATAAATCTGATTATCCACATTGCTTACAAAATTTTTAATAAATCCCTTTTATTTTATGATTGGGAATAACTTCTATATTAGCCATTTTTCTGGTCTCTTCCATGTAAGACGACCTTTTTTTAAAAAAAATGCACTAATCTATACTTTCTTTTGCTTTATTATAATTTTTTATTCGATGTAGCGTAATTTGTTCTTCTCTTGATGGGCCCATGGTGGGCCTGTGGCCTTTTTTTTTTCCAAACTTCCATTTACCCATGCTTTTAAAAATAAACACATTTTTCAATTTGTCGAAAAATTTGTATGTTTTTGGTAAGAATTTTGTAAAACCTTAAATAATTCATAACTTCAAAATAAGCAGTACTGCATATAGAAAACGAGTATATGTGGTTGCATAACTTTTTTGCATAAAAAATCATCATTAATATATATTAAACATATCACACCAATGCAATGGGTATACTTTATTTCAAGCATTAAATGGATAAATACATTAGGTGTACCTACAAGCCCATATCATTTATATTATCATACTTGCTAGCCCATTGCACGGCTTTTGCCGCGTCTATTTTCTAGTGCTTCCTTTTTTTTTCTAAATTACACAGAAGGCTTTTGCCGCGTCTATTTTCTAGTGCTTCCTTTTTTTTTCTAAATTACACAGAACAACGCAGATAAGTACGTCGTCTACCACTGAAAGCACAACGCCGTTAAATTAAATCCTGAAAAATTCGTTCCTATGGGAAGTTGAACCCAAAACCACAAGTGCTACTGAGGCTCTTGTAACCACTAGGTTACAGGCCCTTTCGTATTTTCTAGTGCTTCCTAATCGCAGGATCTGAGCAGAATACTTGTATGTAAACTTAAGCGCAGTGCAATATTGTTATTTCAATGTAAACATGTGGTCTGAGGATACACACGTTCTTAACTGATTTTTTTTCTTTTTCATTTTCAAACATTGATTAAGTGAATTTTTGTTTTTTTTTCATTCAAAGTAAAATATTTGCTTTTTCTCGCAAATCATCTCGGCCATTACTGTTGTTCCTATTGTTGCTTGGGACATTCCTAACAGCAGTATTAGTATTGGCTGTTGATTTTGGTGGTGGTGCTTAATCATGATATAAATTTATGTCAGCTAATAGTTTCTAGATTCGTTGTATTTGGATATGTCACATCCAACCAAAATCCCTTATATTTAGTGACGGGGGAGTAAGTCCAAGTATATATAATACTAAATATAGACCATACTAATTAACCTATTAAAAAACAAATTAGGGTACTGAATACGTGTAACATATTTGATTTAATTTATATTTCATTGGCGCGCGTTGCACGCGTATGATTACTATATAAAAAAAATTCGTTTCATAGCGTCATCTACAAAATCTCATCCGTCGCCGTCTCCGCGCTCGCCTGGTAATCCGTCGTCCTCGCCGGGTCCCAGCCGGACAACGGCGGCGCCGGTGCCAACGCCGACGCTGACGCGCGCGCGCCCCTCGTCTTCTTCGCCGACTGCCGCCGTCGGCTGGACCCGCCCGTCGACGCGGCCTACTTCGGCAACTGCGTCGCCAAGGCGGCGGCCGCGCGCGACCGACCTGGCCCGGCCGACCCCCGGCGCGGCGTCCTGCATGCGCGCGCGCCACGCGATCCAGAGGGCCGTCGGCGTTCGTGGCGTTTGCTCCGGCAGCCGAGGTTCGTGGCGGCGTCCGCCTCGCCGCGGTTTCGGGCGTACGACGCGGCGGATTTTGGGCTGGGGCGCGCCAAATCCCAGCCAGGTACGAGCTCTGGCAACAACGAAGCACTACCAAAGCCGTAGATATGTCTCCATTGATTGAACACGTTCGACCATGAGATCGCAAACATCATGCTTGTTAGGAAATTATAGGCAAATAAACTATAAAAAACAATAGATCAATCATAGAAGATATGAAATTTAACGTGAAAAACCCTCCCAAATTAGAAGAGAAAAAAACCATTGAACGTGAAAAACCTTTCCAAAATAGAAGAGAAAAAAACCATTGACGTCAGCAATATATCTTCACTATATCAGGGTGAGATTACCACACTGAACGGCAGCTTACAAGATATATATACAAAGGTGAAACCCTAAAATATAACGATCACTTCTGCTCAGCCTCTAGCATCTACGGGCCTCCGCTTCGCTCTGGTAAAAGCTACATTTATTATGTATAAATGAATTTGGATCACAGCTCAACGGTGCTGTCACTCACCAGTAAAGAAGTTGCGACCTAAACGCCTCCATATGCTCCGGACGGAGCGTCGCCATCACCTGCACGCTCGCCTCCTTCCGCCCGGCGGTCATCGCCACCATGCCATTGGGCAAACTCTCCGACGCGAACTCCACCCGGCTCGGCGCGCCCCAGCCCAAATCCACCTCGTACACCTGAAACCGCGGCGACGCGGTCACGGCCACGAACCCGGGCTGCCGGACCAGCGCGGCGACGGCGTCGATCCACGCGTCGAACGCCTCCACCATCGGGTGCTCCAAGAACCCGTCGATCGCCTCCCGGATCGCCTCGCGCGCGTGCAGGACGCCGCGGTGGGCGTCGGCCAGGTCGCCGGCGGCCGCCCCGGCGACGCAGCACCGGACGCAGTTGCCGAAGTATGCCGCGTCGACCGGCGGATCCAGCCGCCGCCGGCAGTCGGCTGGGAATACGAGGTGCGCGCGGGCGCCGTCGTCCGGCTGGCGGGACGCCCTGGCCCGGACGACGGACGACCAGACGAGGGCCGCGACGGCGACGAACGTGGAGGGGAGCCGGCGGGGGCGGCGCTCTGTCCCGGGGCTCGCCGTGGTTGCCTCGTCGAGCTCCGCGATGCGGTTCTTGATGTGGCCGATGCGGTGGCTGTCCAGTTCTAGCGTGGTCACGACGTGACGTTCCCACGTTCGTCTCAAGAGATTTGCGGTGGGGATCTACATATTTGGATGAAGATTTAGTTGATCACGCCAAAAAATCACAGATTCTGATGAGCTTTTTTTGTCAAAAAAGAAATCACAAATTGCATTACCAGTGGTAGCTCCGGTGCCTTCTTACGGAGGATGCGCCGCGCCATGTCAGCGGCCATGGGGTGCACGATCGCCGACCGGTCAAACGCCGGCGCGGGGGGAGATGGCCGGCCGCGCGCCGCCGCCGACCACGCGTCCATGAACCGCCAGAAGCTCTGGCCGTCTGCCACGGCGTGGTGCACGGCCACGCCCACCGCGACGCCGCCCCCGCCCCCGCCGCCGACGAAGCGCGTCGCCTGCACGGCGAGCACCGGCGCGGGGAGCTCGGGGACCTCCAGGCTGGGCACGAGCCGCAAGAACGCCGGGACGTCGAGCCTCTCGGTGGGCGTCCGTGCCGGCGTGCCACCGTCGACCTCCACCTCCAGGAACGCGACCCCGTCGGCGACGGCGGACGGCGCGTGGTCGTGTCGTGGTGTTGCCACGTTCGCCTCAACCAATTCGCGGTGGGGAGCTACAAATTTTTACGGAAATTCAGTTGAACACGTTAAAAATCAGACGACTTGATGAATTTTCGTCGAAAATGCACGCGCGCACATACAAAAATGGAGATTACCAGTGGTAGCTCCGGTGTCACCTTCCGGAGGATGCGCCGCGCCACGTCAGCGGCCATGGGGTGCACGATCGCCGACCGGTCGAACACCGGCGCGGGGGGAGATGGCCGGCCGCGCGCCGCCGCCGACCACACGTCCATGAACCGCCAGAAGCTCAGGCCATCCGCCACGGCGTGGTGCACGGCCACACCGACCGCGACGCCGCCCCGGTCCCCGCCGCCGACGAACCGCGTCACCTGCACGGCGAGCACCGGCGCGGGGAGCTCGGGGGCCTCCAGGCTGGGCACGAGCCGCAAGAACGCCGGGACGTCGTGCCGCTTGGCGGCCGACAGCGCCCGCGCGTCGCCGTCGCTCTCCGCCTCCAGGAACGCGACCCCGTCCCCGACGGCGGACGGCGAGCAGTCGACGACGACGTCGCCAGTGGAGGGGACGTACGTGAGCTTCCCGGCGAGGGGGAAGAAGACCGCGACGGCGTCGGCGAGCGACGACCTTAGCGACTCGACGAGGGACGGGAAGTAGTCGTCGGCGCCACCGCCGCCGCCGTCGTCGTCGTAGAGGAAGAGGCGTTGGATCGGCGGCTGCGGCAAGAACCAGACGTCGAAGAGGGAGAGCGGGATCTGCTCGAGGTGCGGCGGCGAGCGGCGGAGGAGCGGGACGCGGATGGCGGCAACGACTCTCACCTCCGCACCGGAAGCCATTGATCCGATCAAGCTAGCTAGCTATACTAGCTAGTGACTGGCAAAGTGACAATGGTGGTTCATTGGTTCAAGTGTGTCGTGTAATCTTGTCGCATTGCCTGCCTCTCGATCTGTCTGTAGCCAGGATTATTTTGCAGTTGGGGTTTTGGCGTAGGCCATGGATCCAAACTTTCGTGGATGGAGAATATTGTCTCATATTGATGTATTAAATTAAATATTATAAAGCGAACAAATAGTTTAGAAAAAAAATTATGTAAATAATGTTGATGTATTTCTTCTGTTCTAAAATGTAAATATTTTTTTAGATGGGCACGGGAATTAAAAAAGTATATAGAAATAATTGGAGGGTTATGATTGGTGGAGAAAAAAAGTAGGTGAAGGGGAATGTTTGTGGTTGGTTAAGAGGAGAGGGCATTTGAAAAAAAAAAAAGTTTTATTTTGAGATAAGTTACTGTGATAGAAATAGCTACATTTTACAATAGAGGTAGTAGAAAGTTTTCGAAAGAACAGCATGGCACGAATAACCCATACTTCCATACCACAATGATAAGTTCTACTCCATATGGATTAGACAAGCACAAATGATGCTATGCCATTTGATGCGGGATATATTGATGAATATGTATGTTAAATATTATAAAAAGGTGGAAGGATACATGTTAAAATATTATGGAAATGATGTAGGATAATAAATTAACATGCTTACATGTTGAACTTTAAAATATAATTATGATTATGATATGATATGTATCCATGTTGAGTTATATAACTTTAGGAATAAATTAGTCATTTAGAATGCATAATTCTAAGCTAGTGACCGGGTACTGGCATACCAGAACAATTCAAATTAGAATAAAATTGTAGCGTGAAATATATATATATATCTCTCTCTCTTTTGCAACATCATGTGAAAGTTATGAAGTGTTTTACACCTCTAGCATTTGCACCATGTGTACAGTGTACACAACTAAATACCAAATATAAAATACAGGTTAGCCAGTTATGACAGCCAAATATCATCAAACAAAAAAAAAGATCACCATAGCTGCATCCATCACAAATTGGTTAATGAGAGATTTTGAACTCTGAATGTTAAGGTGCATAAACAGTCAGTACAGCCATTATTAACCTCGCCAGAAGTTTTAGGCCCATCATTATATGCCAGACAAACCATTACCTATATGATGAGATCAGATTAAAAAGCCCTAATTCTCATCGTGCTCATTTGCTCATTACATCTGCATTGCACCATCCAAGATCCATATCTGCATATCCATAGCTGATACAGCTCCATCGTGAAAACGTTTATTCCTCTACAAGGTTTTGCATGCTACTACTAATGCACTATACCTTTAGACATTCCCAGGTTACAATACCGAGTAAACAAGCTGCCTAACAAACATTACAATACTTGATATGTTGTATGATCCTGAAGGCCCTAGCCAAGCAATTCAAGCAGACTCGGCGAACCCAATCCTGTTTTTGCCAAAGTCGAAGACAGTGTGGTATGCAGCCATGAACACGTCTCCAAGAATCCTGCAAAAACGCAATGCAACAAGATGGGTCAGATAACGAGAAGCTAAACGTCAAACGGTCAAAGAACCTAACAACATGGAGCTCCCGCTTCTTGATGACAGTGTAATTTGTGTACCAGAGTGGGCCGCGTGGAGGTGGCACGTCGAACGCCATGAACCCGCTGATGCAAACAGTTTGACCTTGCTGCTCCAGCTTCACTACGTACTGCATAGTTGAAGAAGACGACGGTGAGATTTAGAAAAGCATGAGTATAGCTTAAGAGGATGGGCCAAGTGTGTCACTGAGGGAGCCACCTGCTCTGGTGTCAAGGTGAAGGTCTTGTTTGCTATGGTGAATGAAAGGTTCGGCATGTTTGAGATCTCATCGCAGTCGACTGCCGATTCGCCATTGGGGCTTGGGAGACGCTCGCAGAGCTTCGGTAAATTGGGATTGGAATGTTATGCTTTGCAATCAGGAAAGGCTGGTGCGACATAGCAAAGGACGTAATGATCACTACTTACCTGGTCAGCATATTGCAAAATGAGCTCCCTTGTTTGGTTATGTCGGAGCTGATTCTGTATCCAGACAACAGCCATCTCGCAAGCAGTGCAGGAAAGATCTGAGCCCACCTTTTCTTTATCAACAACAGACTCTATATTGTTTCTACATATTCATTCGTGAAACAAGTCTGTCATGGAAAGGGAACAAAAAGGAGGAACATAGATATATTAAGATGGCAATTAAAATGTCATGTATGTGTTGTGCTGACCTGACAGAACGAGTACCATCAAATGCACAGAGACCAATCTGAGAGCACAGTTTCATGGGGCTTGCCTGCTCAGTCACAAAATTATTTTATATTTGGTCAGAGAATCCAAGATCAATGAAAAAAATGAAGCATCACAAGAAAAATTCAATCCAATGTTCAGACAAGTGGCAAACCTGTGCTATGAGCATCTCGAGGATCATGTCCCCGTAGTCCCGCACAACTTGTTTGCATTCCATACTAACAATTCCCTCAGCTCCAATTGCGTGATTAATTTGAGCAACAATAGTCTGACAGCAGTAGAAAAGGCAAATATGTAAGCTGTACTGTGATTGCAAAACATTTTTCAAATGCACATTCCATCAATCAGGATGTATTTTACGTTCCTAGATGAGAAACTGCAAAGTACCACTTTTTTTGTGTGTTAATTTGTGTTAACTTCTAGTACCACACTAAAGGACCATAACATTAGTTAGAGATTGAAGGTTACATACTGTTGGGCCACCGAGCAATGAAGTCCCTGAATCCGCAATAGCGGCGCAACCACCAGAACAGAACCCAGTTGAGTAGTCATCAATAAGAAGATCCCCCATCTCAAACTGCCAGTAGCCTTTGCGGGTAACAGGAACATATGTATGGCTCCCCTTGTAATGATTTGGGTCTACACCACCAAAGATTAACTCACCCCCTGTCGGTGCATCAGGATCGCGGTTGAGCCAGAAGGAGAATACATCCTTCTCGATCAGTTGCTGCTCTTTCATTCCCTGCCTGTTTTTCCCCATATCACATAGAACAGTGTTAAAACATAATCATCACTTAGGTAGTGACATAATCACAATTTATAAAATGGTCTGAGTAGGTACCAAATTGGAGGGGCTCCTCCCACAGAGATCTCCGGAAATCCAAGTCCAAGAATTCCATCAAACTTCCCGATGATGAAAGTAAGGCTCGGTTCCCTGGTTGTCTCAATGAACATCTGAAAGAAAAATGGACCTGCAGCATCAACAATGATGCATCTAAATGTTTTACTGAGACAATAGTGCGATAAGTCACCTGATTTTTCACAGCAAGATCCCCAACTAGCACGCTATCCTCACTGAAGAAACCAGCAATTGATCCAGACCCATAGGAAATGCTGCAAGATTCTCCTGAAAATAAAAATCCCAATAACAGTATAAGGGTCTTAATAGACATTGGTTTTACTTGCCAAAAGGATCTACAATATTGAGATGCCACTGGATCTATCATACCATTCTTTTTGTAACTGCTCGACCCTTTTGACTTGTACCTGTGGTGTAAGTAGCATGCTATCTGGAAAGCATAGACATCAAAACATCAAACATTCTTCCTTACAAAAATACAGTCATTTTCTACTGTATACGTGCACAATAGTTTCATAAGTCTGTTAGGTGATGAACCTACCGAAAAATAACATTTCACTGATGGAACCCACAAGTTGGAGCTTCCAGTGTCGAATATCACAGTGAAGTTCTGTGGTGGAGTGCCGATGCCGATCTCTCCAAAGTACTGCGTGTCCAGGTAGTTGTCCAAAGGAACTATGTCATCACCTAAACCGTCGGCTCTCAGACGATGGCTTTCCTCCCTTGCCAATTTTGCACCGTCCAAGGTCTTCTTGTCCAATCTCTTCTTATTCAGGCTAATTCTCAGCAATCCATCAGGAGAAGCATGAAGCAGAACTGCGCATGACAGAATCCACAAGCAAGTGACCAGGCAAAGATGGTTCCGTCCCATCGTGCTTGAACCACCTAAGGTATAAAAGCTAATTAATCAGCAGAATACGGGAAAATAGACAACAAATTATCCTATGATAGGTTATCATTTGGAAAATATAGACAACAAATTAAAAGGAAGAGCGCATGGATATCTTGAAATTGTAAACCGGTATCATTAAGAAGGGTTCATCACGTTGAGCTGTTTGACTTCCAGTGTCGAATATATGCTATTATGGCAGGAAATTCAGAAATTGGACATAGATATTTAATTGACATGTAAAAATGGAGCCATGGAGTTGAAGTTCCATCATCCTTGGACAAATATCAAGAAAGGCACCAAAGTTCACAAGAACAAAGAGAGTGAGAATCAAAGAACTGATATACCAATATGTCAAGGTTAAGGCTCATACTGAGGCATCACAGTAGAGATAATTATGCACCACAGAGTGATAGGATCCCAAATAACTTAACTGCAGAGTTGATTGCAAGTAATTTAAGAAGCTAAGAGGAACCTGGACTCATACCTTTCTTGCGCAGACAGTTAGCTGCTTCCCTGGTCCGGAGAGGAGGGGAAAGAAGCCGGTGAAGAACTCGAGGGGAAAGAGTGGCCCTCTCTCAGTGGTAGGAGTAATAGGACATGAAGATGAGACGATTCATAAAAGCGTTGTTCGCATGGCTCTGTCCAGTCCAGAAGAAACCACCCGAAGATATTTGTTTAGACTTAAGAGCACACCGACCTGCTACTACTAGTACTCTTCGAGTTCGACTGACATGTGGGCTCAAATGCAATCTGCCCTACATGTCAATGACAAGAATTTCAAGTACAGAGAAGATTAAAAGAAATGGCCATTGTTGATTGTTTAGATTAGAGGCAGAAAAAGACGTGCTTAGACAAGGATGCCAAGGAAAACTTTTTTTAAGTAGGGTGTCGCAAGATTTGAGAAAGCAGCACTGCAGGTAAGGTGTTCACTGACTTGGTGATACATACTGTACGTTGTTGATGGCTTAGGCGAGGCAATACTACCTCCGTCCGATTTTAGATTCGGCGCTTTATATGTGACTTATGTTTTTTTTCAACAAATTCTCAAATAAAACGGACGATCAAAGTTGGGTACGAAAAATCATGGTTACACTTAAAATGAGATAGAGGGAGTTTTATATTTTTTGCAATAACTTGAGTGGCTGGCAACTGAACGGATAAGCCAAGGAAGAATATCATATCCACCCGTTGTTTTCAGAATATTTTCTTGTTTATGACATCAAAATTCAGGCGAAGGGAAACTCCAAAGACAGCAAATCCAGGAGACATGTTTTAGTATTATTATTTAAATTGTCCTTACTAAATCTTTCACCTCATCTAATGGTGTGGATAATCTAATTTAAAGCGGTTTTTTTTTTCTTAAGGACCTTGAGGGTTACAGGGTGCTTACTTTGGTGCGAGCGAACCGTGGAAAGGCCAAGCACGAGACGGCCATCGCCCACCGGACAGGTCCTTCTCTTCCGCCGCCTGGTCGCCTGCTCGCCGGAGAGCAGACTGCTCCAGCCGGCGACGACCCGCCGGCAGATGAAAAGCAATTTCATACACATCAGAATTTTTTTCATCAGCCCACGGCAAACTTATCTGAATCGAGTTAATATATAGTGACTGACCCTAACTGCGAGAAAGCAACAAAGCCGTCACCAAGAAACACATGCCACAAAAGAGAAGCCATCAATTCCCTTGTCCCCAGCTCTAATCTCTACATGAGGTAGGGGCTCCAGGCTTCAAAATGTTTCACAGCTCCAGGCCCTCCTAATCTCTCTGAAGATGATTCACCACAATTCCATTGCCATTTGACGATATCATCGGTAGCCAGCATTCAATTCAATCTACAGCGGCGGCAATTCTCCTTGGATTCAGATTATTGTTGTTCTTACATTACAGCTTGAAAATGAGGGTAAGGGGGAAGACATGCCAGTGCATTATTGTGACGGACGGATTGCAAATACAACACTTCTGTCAGTTTCTGAAAGTACACTACATGAACTGGCAACGCCATTGGCGGGCTAAATCTAGATCACACCGCAGCGCTGGCTGTCACGGCGATCCACATCTAAGTAGTCGGCCACAACATAACTTCCAACAGAGTGCTGGTTGGCTGCAATGTTCATCAGGCCATCGTTTCCTGCTGCAACCATAGAACATAAAAAATTAGATCGCATTATAGCTTTGCCTCAAAATTATGTCAGAATGAAATATTAGAATAGTAGCCCCAGATACACAACATGTGAAGAAGAAAACCCATACAATCCATAGACTGTTTACCAACAAAATTAAGGAACATTTGGCACCCTGATGACAAAATACAGATTTCATTCATGAAAAAAGACTAGCTGGACCAAGCTACACCAAAGTTTGGCTGCTTTCAATTATGTGCAATACAAAATAAAAGAAAAATTCCATCCCTTATTACCTAGTACTACATAAAGCCAATAAAAGTAGAAAATGCATCTTCTCTGGTTTCCTCTAGAACAATTTAGCATAATTAATAAACAGTTTGTTGGGCAAGCCAATATATTCAGGCGATTAACCTAGAAATGCTGATTGCATACTTTCTTAAACAAAAATCAGGTGATAAGTTAAGGACCAGATGATTTTCAGGTTTGAATGTGAAACTTAATACTTTAAACCTTTCTAGTGAGGGAACCTTCCACAAACAAAATGCACAATAACACAGAATTTTGCTTCTAGGCACAGCTCCCTATCTTACAGGTACTAGCAAAGTTACCGGTGTAGCAAATGAACAACTGTCCTAACTTGAGTAGAACACAGGGTCTCACAAAGGTCTTAAACAGTGAATCAGAATCATTGCATATGCTTTGGAGTGCTACAATGCTTTTTTCGCTAATTTCCAGTAACAAGACTACAAACAGAGGTTATGCACACAGAGAACAATATCCAAATACAATAACTGTTCCTTATGAATAAATATAATCCTCCTTAAGTACAATGTGCACTAATCAAAAGCAAGAACCAGCAATAATAATTCACAAAAAGCTGTTTTTGAATTTCAAAACAGAAAGATATTATGACATCATGACCAACATTTTAGTCCCAGTATAAATGCCCAATGTAGTAAGCATTACTAGCATTCATCGTAAATTTTTTATTTCGATGATGTAAACACCTCATGCCATATGAGAACTAAGTTTCTATACAATCAGGAGTATAATAAGGCTAATGCAGAAATGGAATCATTCATTCGGAGTAGTACAACTAAACACGATCAGTTCTAGAATTTTAAATCAGTTGTATTTTCTATAAGATAGTTAATATCAATTGTTCTCTTGATTACATCAACACCTCTTAAAAAGTCAAAATGTCCAGTTCATTTTGATTCTGCAAACATTACACTAACAGGTAAAAACATACTTATGCAGTTATGCTGCTCAAAGAAATCTAGTAAGCACTATGTACTTCCAAGTAAATATGTTTAAAATGGCTTAAAATGATTTTTACTTGACACTTCATAGTACTACAGCACCTCTTTTGCCTGTTTTGATCTACCAGAATGCTAACACATAATTATTTTTTTAAAAAAATGTGGCTTCAACCATGCATAGAACAATTTTGACAAACTTTTCCACATTCTATGGACATAAAGCAAAGATTCGTACTGCATACCATCGGAATGTTCACAATCCATACATAGATAAACCCATGCTACTGTAGATCACCATATACTTGCATAAGATCAATTATTGATGAGAAAATCTAGTGAAGTTTAGTGTCAATGAAACCTTAGTAAATTCTAAATTATTATGACTATGGAACAATCCGTAAAACTTTATGTGTGGGCATTTGACAAAACATGGATGAACGAAAAAGAAAGTGACTTTCTTGCAACAGATTGTCTTGACTCTTTACCACCAAACCCAAATCTATTCAGAAATATATGGTTAGAACCTGAAGCTTATTTGGGATGTTCATCAGAAGTAACCAATGCCTAAGAATGTAAATGGATTGTAAAGACATGTCTTCTCAAAAGCAACTATATCGAGTAACCAAATTACCAGTGGATAAAACAACCATGGAGTTGTAATGGCATCTATCAAATTCTACACTAGTCAGGGCAACCATCAATGGATAACCAGAGTAAGCAAACAAAGAAAACGAAATAATTAAAGCGAATGCAACTTTAGCGAGATGGTACCTTCTGCGAAGGCCGCAACTTGCTGCTGGTGAATCCATCAGCAACAAGCTTATTGACAGCATCCCTCAGCTTCTCATAATCCTCCGTTACATTGTAAACTTGGTGTGAGATCCTAACATACCCTGTGACTGCATCACCATTCTTATCCTTTGCCATTTCTTGAGCTTCTACTCTTCTCGAATTGTAGTATATTGGCACCTCCACCATAAAATCCTTCCTCAACATTGTTCTCATTCTCATCACATCATCATCACTTTCAACACCAAGGCAACCGGGAAGACCAACCATAACCATGCTACCGCACAGCTCTGGTGGTGTGCCAAGAAAAGTCCCCCATGCCTCAGCAAGCATCTTACCCATCTCGATCACTTTTTCATGGTTACGGCTCCTTATTCCCTCGATGCCACCTTCAAATCGGTTAACAAAATCAATAGATTCAGGCACTACAAGCTGTGCACTGTAATCCCTTGTCCCAATCCATCCACTCTCCATGGGAAGCCCATTGCCGTACTCGTGCGACACCACAGGATGGTGGAGCTGGGAGGCTATCGGATCATCCTTTCGGGTGTGCAAGAAAGCCACGGCAGGCGGGCAGAAGAACCACTTGTGGAGATTGCTGGTGTAAAAATCGGCCCCAATATCGCGCACATCAACAGGGACCTGCCCAATGGAGTGCGCGGCATCTATAAACACCTTATCGACACCCTCTTCTCGGCAGATGGCAACGAGCTCCTTCACCGGGATGACAACGCTAGGCATGGAGGTGATGTGGTCGATGACCGCGAGGCGGACCTTGCGCCCCCCGGCCTTGGCCACATCGAGCGCGGCGCGGAACTCGGCGATGATGGCGTCCGCGGACGCGACGGGGAACGGGAGCGGCACCTCGACGACGGTGGCCCCGGCGCGGGCGACGTAGGCGTGGATGGACTTCTTGACGGCGCCGTACGCGTAGTGGAGCATGAGCACGGCGTCCCCGCGGGAGAACCTCCCCTCGGCGAAGCTCCACGCGGCGTGCTGCAGCACGATGGCGGCGGCGGTGGTGGCGTTGTCGACGAGGGAGACCTCGGCGACGTCCCCGGCGTTGACGAGGCCCGCGACGGCAGCCCGCGAGCGGCGGAGCCCCGGCTGGAGGGCGTGGAAGTAGAAGTCGTCGGGCTGGGCGATGAAGAGGCGCTGCCACCGCGCCTGCGCGTCGAGGAGGGAGGACGGGCAGCACCCGAAGCTGCCGTTGTTGACGCGCGCCACCCCGGCCTCGTGGTGCTCGAACTCCGCCCGGATCTGCGCCGCCGAGATCACCGACCTCGGCCGCTTCGCCGGCGGCGGGCGCGGCGCCGGCCCGTTGCCGTTCCCCTTCCCGTTCCCGTACCCGTTCTCGGCCGCCCCCGCCGCCGCCGCCGCCGCCGCGTCGTCATCCGGCGGGATCGACGCCATCGCTCGCCGCGCCGCCGCGTTAGGGTTGGTTGGTTGGTTTGGTTGGATTGGATTGGAGAGGTGGTGGAGGTGGAGATTTGGGGAGAGGAGAGAAGTGAATTTGCGGATTGGGAATGGGGGCTTCTCGCGTCGCGAGCCGTGTCGAGTTCGAGTTCGAACCGCGCCGGCCGAGGCGAGGACCGGACCGGTCTCGGTCGGGCCGGTCGCTCTCACCTCCGCCGCGCGCGGGCGCGCTTGTTGTTTTAACGTGTGGTTCCGGCGCTGCTGCTTACGTGGACGGGGGTGGGCCCGCCTGGGCAGTGACTGGGGCTGGCGGAAACGATGGGCTTTGATCGCTTGGGAGTAGGGCTGGATATCGAGCTGGCTCGGCTCGGCTCGGCTCGGCTCGGTCAGGCTCGGTAAGATAACGAGCTGGCTCGGCTCGGCTCGTTAACCCTAACGAGCTAAAAAGCTAGCTCGGCTCGGCTCGGCAAAAAGCTCGAGCTAGCTCGTTTGGCTCGTGAGCCAGGGACAAAAAAATGTAAAATGTAAACTACCATACATTTCAATGAGTCATATAACACATATTTATCCATCATGCAGGCTAGCAGCAAGCATCATGCGCATACACGCAATAGAGTACAAATTAGGTCCATCGTCCATGTCTCCATCACATATTCATCCATCAACTATCATCCATGCAAATTGCAAAGTACGACTACATCAGCTAGACAGGAAGGGCGCATAAATATAACTACATAAGTTAACATAGCAGAATGATACATTGTTTAAGTTCCATCATTCTGTATTTCCATGCAAACACACAAAAGGCATGGTCAGTTAACACTTCTCATCCATGGCAAAATGTCTCTCCTTCAGTCCTCCTCCCTTTCCTATAGGGTCAATAATAGTACAACAAACAGCACTGTGTTAACAAGATGATAAGCAACAACAACAAGCCAACAAATAACAAAAAAAGGACAATAAGCACATATACCCACTAGACACTAATTGCTTGCCACCACGCATTTTGGGAATTCAATAGACTCAACATCATCTTCACCATCTCCAATCTAAATAAATATAGACAAATATTAGTATGTCACAAGACAAATAAAGTCAAACAGAGAGAACAAGTTTGTACCACAAGAAGAGGATGATTGTTGTCATCATAAGGGCCCCTTATCCAGCTAGATGCACATACTAATGCCTGAACTGTGGCTGGCTTTAAAGAGCTTCTGTAGTCATCAAGAACTCGACCTGCAGTACTGAATGTACACTCTGATGATACACTGCTCACTGGAACAGTCAAGAACCTCTTTGCCAAGCTAGACACAACTGGAAATCTATGACAGTTCACATTCCAATATCTGAGTAAGTTGAAATGCTTGTTATCTATGGCCTCATTTGCTTCATCTAGATAAATCAGCAGCTCAGATTTTGAACTTTCTGTAACAGTAGATTGCAAAAATGACTGGAAATCACTTGCAATAGAAGCCATTGAGCTGGTTGTATCAACTGAGGCTGAGGTTGATTGCCTGTTCGTGCCATTTTCACCCATCTTTTGCCGATGTAATATCTCATACTTGTTATAGAGTCTTTCCAACTCTTGGTTGATGTCATTAATCTCAATTTCACACCTAATTGGGTCAAAAATCTGTGCAAAACACCATTTAATGTACCTCATCTTGAACCTAGGGTCAAGAATTGTAGCAATAACCATAACATTGTTCTTCTCCTCCCAATACTTATCAAATTTGTCCAACATAGCAGCACCCATGCTCCTCAAATATGTATCTTCAGATTTCTGCGCCTCTATCAAAGCTCTCTTAACTTTCACTATGTAAGGATAGAAACAATTGGCAGTTGGATAGAGTGACCCAGAAAATGCAGTACTAGCCTCTGCCATTGTTCCCAATATTGGCCTAATTTTTCCAAACGAGACCCAATCTGAATCTGAAGGTTTCCAAACATAGCTGGTGTCTACTTCTTTGTAATAGCCAAAGGCATCCTTATAGTCAATGCACGTATCTAGCATTTTATAAGTTGAATTCCACCTTGTTTTAACATCCAGAGCTAAACCCCTGCCCACTTTGACAGAATAATTGTTGCATACTTCCACAAACTTATACATGCGAGATGGAGACCTCTTAAAGTATTTCACTGTGTTCCTCAAGCAACTTATCAAATTATCTATTGGTTGAAGGCCATCATTAACAACCAAATTGACTATGTGAGCAGCACAACGAATATGAAAGTAACTAGGATCAAATACTGAATTCTTTCTAGCAAGAAGCTTTGCCTTCAAATTTGTAACAGCAGTATCATTGTTTGTAGCATTATCAAGAGTTATTGTTGTGACCTTGTCTTCTATTTTCCATTCTACCATACATTCAAAAACAGCCTGAGCTATGACAATTCCAGTGTGGGGAGGATCCACCTCGATAAAGTTCAAGACACGGCATTGCATAACCCAATTCTCATCTATATAATGTGCCACCAAACACATGTACTGAAGGTTTTGATTAGACGTCCATAAATCAGTGGTTAAACTTATTGATTCTGCCTCTTTCAAACTCTTCTTGAGTTGATTTTTTTCAGATTCATAAACCCTCATGCATTCATTTTTTATAGACTTCCTACCAATAAACTCGTAGTTACCATTCATCCATTTCATCAAGATATTAAACCATTTATGTTCTACCATCCGAAATGAATACTCATGAGCAATTATCATCTTGGCAATCAGTTCTCTAGTGTGCTCATGATTATACTCAGTAGGATTAACAATAAGAGAGTTGTCATCTTCTGGACCAAAGTTTAGTGTACCTTGAGCTTTAGCCTTTGTCAACTTGTTCTGATATTGTGTGCAACCAGCCAGGTGCCGGTTCAGAGTTGTTGTAGCACCACCTGGATGATACACATAGCTTCTATGGCAGAACTTACACTTTGCCTTTGCCACCATGACACCTCTCTCCTTCTTGGATGGGACATTGATAACCTTAAAATGTTTCCAGCACTCAGCTCTTTTGCCTCTTGCTATCTTGCACTTGGGAGACACTGTGACACCAGCTTTTTTCCCTCCTGTCTTTGCCTTCTTAGCCTTTGATCCACCATCATCAAACTCATCATCACCCTTCTGGCTTCCACTTCCACCATCAACTGTAGGTAGGCTTTCAGACATATCATCCCTATGGTTGAAGCTGTTATCATCGTCTTCATCTTCTGAAACTTTCTCCAATGGCTGCATAAGGAAATATACATGTATTAATGTATAGCTGAATCGTTGCCATTGCATTAAAATTAAGTGTGACATTCTTCATTTTTGGGGATAAATTCATTATCTACATCTACATGGAAGTAACTAAATAATCTGGACAGCACTCTGGATAGCAATAATTAAATCAACATTCAAGTCTATACTGTACGAACTAGCAATTTTAAATTAGATAACATACCACCACTTCCAAGGACACAGTGGGATTCGATGAAGACCGAGTGCTTGTTCCTCGTCGTCCACGAAGCTTACTCCTCGACTCCAAACTTGGAGGATGCGGCGATGCATTATTCTCACCCTCCATGGCTGCGACCCCGACTGAGGGCTTGGACCTGGAGCATAGTAGTCAGCAGTTCAGTAGCAGTTCGGCAATCAGCAAATGTAGATCTATCTAGAGGAAAAAGGAAAGATGAGTGACCGAGTGAGGATCGGAACGGGACCTGCTCGTGGACTCACGGACGGAGAGGCGCTGGTCACGGCGCCGGCGCGCCGCGTCGCGTGCTGGCGCTGTTGCAGTAACCCTAGCCGCGAGCTTGCGGCGGCCAGGTGCCTGTGCGGCCGCGCGTGAGACTCTGAGGACTGAGGAAGTGAGAAGGGCAAGAGGCTTAGGGTTTTTTTTTCTCCTATATGTGCGTGTGGGCTGGGGGGGCTTTTGGGCTACTGGGTTGTGGCCTGCGGACACAGGTGGATGCGGCCTGCAGTCCAGAAAGCGCAGCTCGTTCAGCTCGCGAGCAGCTCGCGAGTTAGCTCGGCTCGGCTCGTTATACTAACGAGCTAAAATCTTGGCTCGGCTCGGCTCGTTATCCTAATGAGCCGAGTCGAGTCGAGCCGAGCCTGCTACGAGCCGAGCGAGCTAACGAGCTTCGAGTTTTCCGTCCAGCCCTACTTGGGAGGTCGAAGAAAGCAAGCAACGGCTTACGTGTGCCACGTAAGGAAGCCGTTGTTTGTGATGCTGTAATTAGTAATTATTAAGTATTTCATCCATCCCATTTTAAATGCAGTCATAAGTTTTCCTATCTAACTTTAATTATTTATCTTATTTAAAAACTTTCTAAAAAAATTAACAAACATAAGTCATGCATAAAGTATTATTCATATTTTATCATATAAAATAATAAAAATATTAATTATAGAAAAATTTTAAATAAGACGGATAACCAAAGTTAGATATAAAAATTTATGGCTGTATTTAAAATGGGACGAAGAGTTATCAGTTACGGTGGATTGGTGGGCGCTCATTGTCCGCACGGCAGCGGGCAGATAAAAACTGAGTTCAACACGACTATCATGAAACCACGACTCGCAGCTCAAATAAATTGCAATACAAGACGACTTCTTATCTGCCGCTCGACCTAATAACAAACTTAAATTCTTGGGGCAATTGCAAATTTACCACTACTTTGAATCGTTATTGCAAAACTGCCACTAGAAAATTGCAAAAATGCCATTAGACCTGTCATTCGAGTGGCATCCTTGCAATATTAAAAAAATCGGTGGTAAATTTGCAATTGCCCCTAAATTCTTAGTATTACTCAATGAATGAATTGTTGTCCTAATCAAAACTTAATCATTGTTATTTGTTGGGAGCACGGCTGTGCGCACTAATCGCCATCTCCTACGTCACTAAAGCAACTAATTTGAAGTTTATGCTCGTCTTCATCGACAGCTTCCTGTTTAATTACTTTCCACTTGCCATAATATATCCACTAGGAACAATTTTAGCCCCTCTCGTACTGCGCCGATGTTCCGCAATTCATACATCGATACGTAAGCTTTTCGAATCACTAGTTTTTTATACGGAGTGATGTCTGAAATAGCAGCAAAAGTTATGTTCAACTTGTAAACGTGTAAAATTTCTATTGTGCATATATAAACTTACAAGTAGATAGGATAAAAATTTAAAAATTAAGCATATATGTGTAAGAAGTTGGAGGATGGGTATAATTGAGTATAGTACAATCTTTGAGTACGGAGTGCATAAAAAATGATATAATTGACAATAATGTCATCAAAATTAAGCATTCAAGTGAAATAACTTGGTTAGATACTTAGATGATTGTATTTTTATCTAAAAAGGTGTCAAGCGTGATAAATTTTTTCCACGTTAACAGGCACGTCGGTAATGAATCCACATTACCTGCATAGAGCAATTCCGTTGTACCTCTATGCAATTTACACAATGAAAAAAAAAAACAAATGCACCCATCCGCAGTTTTGCAAAATTAAAGGTGTGTTGTGCAAATATGCAAGGAGACATGACGTGCTCTTACTAAAACAGGTGATGTGATGTGGCTGCTTTATTACTAAAATAGGGCAAAGAATGTACGATGGGGGCTCTATTAGGTCATTCTAAGTGCATCTAGCTGTTGTGTGGATTCGATGCACCACGTTAGATGTCTGCTGCCGTGGAGGACAGAGGAGGGGGAATCAGTGGTTCTCCAAGGATTTTCATTCTTGCTTGAACCACGAGTTCCTCTGGAGAGTGAAGCACAAGGGGTGGTCTAAAATAGGCAAAAGGAGGAAGGACAAGAAGATGGGAGTGGCGCCTTGTAGACTTCGGCAAGCAAATCAAGGCCACCACGGAGCTCGTTGGCCCAAGCCGCAATGCCGCTCGGGAGGAGGGGACGGCCACCAAGACCACTTCAGGCAAAATGAGGAGGGGACGACGGCCTCGAAGCTCGCTGGCCAGATTGGGGGCACTGCATTCACCTCACCGGTGTAGAGCTTGTCGTCCTCCTCCTCTCCACGCTACAAGTCTCGTCGTCATCACCTTCTCCGCACCGCAAAGCTCCTCGTTGTCGTCACCCTCTTCACCCTGCAAAGCTCATCATCTTCCCCCCTCCGTGCCGTTGATACCGTCGATGTCGCTTGATTCGCACCGCCGCCATGGAGCTCGTAGGCCCACCACCCCAATCTCTACCATGAGCTCGTCCTCAACACCTAGTCAACACGGGAGCAATGCACGAAGTGGTTTTCGGTGGTGTCGACGGTGTGGGTCGTCTTGATGTAGGGGAAGGGGGATAGAGAGCGGCGCCGACGAAGAGGGGGCGCCGGTGTGGATGTGGCTGACAATGGCGAGCAGAGACGAGGTGCGCTGTAGAGGTGGCGAAGAAGAATCCACGCCTCGCTTCCCGGATCCTCCGTCCGTGGGGTGGCAGAGAGGAGAGAGAGAGAGGGAGATGAAAAGTGAATACGGTTAGGAGTGAGACCCATTAAAACTAGTTTGCACTATGGAATGAGTTGTTTTAAAGGAGCGTCATCTTATGTGATATTCCATGTTGTTCAAGTGTGGAGGTTACACTGTGAAAGCCCTTAGAAAGATGAGACCATGGTAGATAAAAGTAGAAAATGAGACATTGGTGGAGCAATTTAGATCCCATACGGTTGCTATTGTGCCATAGGAATATAGGATCAAGGGAGAAGAGGTAAGATTCGCATAGATACTATGGCAATGTAATATAGCAAAACATTGTATAAAAACATAAATAGCAGTGTTGCAATCGATTTGAGCCATTGGGTTGAAAAATGAATGACTAGTATTATGTGTAGTTACAATAGCAAACTGTAATGGACCTTAAATGTGATGAAGAGCCACCTCTAAGTTAGGGAGTGCCAGTTAACAAGCATTATTGTTCATAGACCAAAAAAAAACATTTTACGGTCAATAGAGAATCCTCGTCTTATACTCCTACTAGGCTTCATGGTGTTCGGCTCTGCCACTAGAAGGAAGTGAATGTCGATAGTTGATAGGGTTACTGCCATAACTACTAGAGAAAGAGTCATAAGAATAAGATCACATGTGGGTGGGTTAGAGAGGAAGAGGGTAAGAGAGAAGAATGGATCACCTCTCCCTCACGCTACCCCGTCCAACGTGGCCATCTTGTGGCGGCAAGAGGATTGACACTTAGAAAGGAACTCACCAAAGCCTTCAACGCCTACCTCATGGTGCTGCTGTTGCCTTGACCAGGTTGCTCGTGTCTCCTAACGGGCCACCTGATCGCATGACCATCGCCTTCGTCCTCCCACCGCAGTAGCCTCACCGCCGCACCGCCCTAGCCATGCCATGCTCCTACCACGGTAGGCTCGCTGCCACACCACTCCATCCAACGCGCCGGCCTCGTCGCCTCCGCGCCGTGCTCGCCAGCCACGGGCCTTCGTGCCGCATACTCTATGCGCCTCGCTAGCCTCCCTCCGCCAGCAATGCTCCTCCATGCCGGCACAACTTCCCCCCTAGATCATCATCGGGGTCGTCACCGCTGGCCAGCACCCCAAGCCTCTGTCGCCACACTTGCTAGCCCTCTAATGCCACCGACAAGCGAACCGTGCGCCCTCGGGATGGAATGAGGGCGACCGGATTTGGCTATGGGGACGCTAGGTACAGCCGCACAAGTCGCCTCCTCCACGCCCTCTTCCCCACCGCCAGCGCCCTCCACCACCACTCCCTCCAGCCTTGACCCAGCTGAAGGAGCCACCTTTGCTCTGCACCCTCTTCCCCGCTGCCGCGTCGACCCACGCAAGTAGGAGTTGCCGGATCCAGCTGCACGAGCGGCTGCCTCGGCACCCTCTTTCCCATCTGTGTCACCTTCCACCGCTGTTCAAAACTGCGTCGCTACCCCTCACCGGATCTGGCTAGGGAGAGCACAGATCTGGACGGCGCCGCCACCTCTTCTTTTTAGGTCGCCTTAGAAACCCCTGTCTGAATAGTGCCCTTGGGGGAAGAACGGAGCTCTGCCCGCCGCCGTCCTTGCAGAGCCGGCCGAGCGACACGGACGTGTTTCTCTTTTGATGTACTAGTATTTAGAACGCAGCCTTAATCCAAAAGAATCTTAGCTACGGAGAAAGCTAATGGTCCGGTGTCAAGTGAATAAAATCTTTCTTCTTTTGTGATTCTTGCTTCAACAACTTTGAGTCAATCAAAATATTTTCAAAAAAAGAAAACAGCTCCTCTCATATTGGTCATGCTCCAACGGAACCATTTTCAGATACATTTTGCCCAACGGTACAAAAATTTGTTTCGCTTGTTTGGTTTATTATTGATCAGACAACCGTGATTTTTCATCCACATACGGCATAATTGCATACTAATCCCATCAAAGATAACGCCCCCAACGGCCCAACCCATACCCGACACCTCTGACGGCTCCAAGCTTGCAAGTCAACATCTCCTCTAACCTCCGATGGCCTCGCTTCAGTCCGGCGGCGACGCGGCCGCGAACGGCGTCGACGCCGACGTCGACGGCGCCGCGTCCCCGCCCTCGGCGAAGCGGCCCCGCGCGGGCGCGGGCGCGGCGGCGATCACGGACGCCGAGGTCCGGGCCGAGTTCGCGCACCACGACCGCGCCGTGGCGCGCCTGAACAACGGCACCTTCGGCTGCTGCCCGGCGTCGGTGCTGGCGGCGCGGGCGCGGTGGCAGCGCCTGTTCCTGTCGCAGCCCGACGCGTTCTACTTCCACCACCTCCAGCCCGGGCTCGCCCGCTCCCGCGCCGCGGTCGCCGCGGCCGTCGGCGCCGGGGACGCCTCCGAGGTCTCCCTCGTCGACAACGTCACCACGGCCGCCGCCATCATCATGCAGCACGTCGCCTGGAGCTTCGCCGAGGGGGACTTCGCGCGCGGGGACGTCGTGCTCATGTTCCTCTACACCTACTGCTCCATCAAGAACTCCATCCACGCGTACGTGGCCCGCGCGGGCGCCACCGTCGTCGAGGTGCCCCTCCCGTTCCCCGTCTCCTCCCCGGACGCCATCGTCGCCGAGTTCCGCGCGGCGCTCGCGGTGGCCAGGGACGGCGGTCGCCGCCGCGTCCGCCTCGCCGTCATCGACCACATCACCGCCATGCCCACCGTCCTCATCCCGGTCAAGGAGCTCGTCGCCATCTGCCGCGAGGAGGGCGTCGACAAGGTGTTCGTCGACGCGGCGCACGCCGTGGGGCAGGTCCCCGTCGACGTGCGCGACATCGGCGCCGACTTCTACGCCAGCAACCTCCACAAGTGGTTCTTCTGCCCCTCCGCCGTCGCCTTCATCCACACGCGCAAGGACGACCCCGTCTCCTCCAAGCTCCACCACCCCGTCGTCTCCAGCGAGTACGGCAACGGCCTCCCCATGGAGAGCGCCTGGATCGGGGTGCGCGACTACAGCGCGCAGCTCGTGGTCCCGGACGTCGTCGACTTCGTCAATCGCTTCGACGGCGGCGTGGAGGGGATACGCCGCCGGAACCACGACAAGGTGGTCGAGATGGGCACGATGCTCGCCGCCGCGTGGGGCACGTTCCTCGGCACGCCGCCGGAGATGTGCGGGAGCATGCTCATGGTGGGGCTGCCCGGCTCGCTGGGCGTCGGGAGCGAGGACGACGCCGTCGGCCTGAGGACGATGCTGAGGAAGCAGTTCAAGGTGGAGGTGCCGCTCTACTACAACTCCAAGGCGGCGGCGGCGGATGCGCCGCCGGAGATGGTCAAGGACGGCAATGGCGATCCGGTGACGGGGTACGTGAGGATCTCGCACCAGGTGTACAACGTCCGGGAGGAATACGAGGCGCTCAGGGACGCGGTCGCCAAGCTCGTCGCCGACGGCTTCACCTGCAGAAAGTTACGGCCTCCTGAGAAGGTACACTGAACTGATCATCTCGCTGAAACATTCTGTTTAGCTGCTGTTTTTTTTATTTGGGGTTAATTTAGTTCTGAATTTTGATGGATTATTACTGTGTAATTTGGTAAAAACAAATTGTTTGTCTGGAACACCTGGAACACATCGCGTGTTCTTTCTTGATATGCTTGATGTGGTAGCCTCTAAGCCTTTGCTGGGACATGTTTCTTCAGTGATGGCTCAACCGCCGATTATACAAAGCTGTTGGATTGCGAAGTACCAAATTATTAACTGAAACAATCAATAATTGCAATTAAAGTAGTGCAATTTGCATTTAAGTACTTGAAATATAGTTTGCAATGTTCTATTTGGTTTTGTCCATATATTTAAGAAATTCAATGGGCATATCATATGTGTACCAAGACTTCAAGATCTTCATTTCACTAACCTATGTTTATATAGCAATGGGAAAGTGAAATCATCCCTCGAGGGGATATCCCCTTTTCGTGCATGTCACCTAAATAGTCATCAAAAAATATGAAAAAAATTGGCAACATAGATTAATATGAAATATATCACTCTACAAACACGCAAGTTTAAATTCAACTTCTACAAGTTGTAACAAAAATAACAAATACAGTTGTGAATATACCATAACTATTTTCAGTTTAATTTGTTATTTTTGTTGCAACTTATAGAAGTTGAATTTGGACTTTCATGTTTGTGGAGTGATATATTTCGTATTAATCTATGTTATCAATTTTTTTAAAATTTTTTAATAACTATTTAGATGACATGCAAACAACGAGGGGATGCCCCCTTGAGGGATGAAAATCCACATCCTATAGTAATTGCCAAATTGCTACCATAGAAAGGCTTACCTTGGAACCACAGTATTCACAGCTCACACTCCGCAATTTACATGAGAGACAATTTGTTTTTATATCGATGGACTCTGTCGCACCGGACAAGTATAGAACATATGACGGTTTGTCAGCATATAGATTTCTTTTGCACGATTGAAAGTTCGAAATCATACTTTACGTTAGAGATGTTTCTGTTGCATACTTCTATGAGATCAGAGATTGTTGGCATAGCACCACGAATACGATGACAGATGTCCGATGCGAAACGGTGGAAGGCCACTCACCCGTATCTAGAACTATTTGCCTCATTATACTGTATTACACAATCGATCTGTTGCTGTTTTACTACCTACTACTCCCTCCGTTTCGAAATATTTGACACTGTTGACTTTTTAGCACATGTTTGATCATTCGTCTTATTAAAAAACTTTTATGAAATATGTAAAATTATATACCTACATAAAAATATATTTAACAATAAATCAAATGATAGGAAAAGAATTAATAATTACTTAAATTTTTTGAATAAGACAAGCAGTCAAACATGTGATAAAAAGTCAACGGCGCCAAACATTTCGAAACGGAGGGAGTATTAAACAATTTGGAAGTAACAGTGATTCTGTACTTGTGATGGAAAGATGCCCTGGACTTCCACTAGCAATACAGGGTCTGGGTGTTCAGTTTTCGGTCCAAAAGCATATGGTTGTGCCTGATGATAAGGCTGCCAGTTGCCACGAGGAATATGGAGATTTGCTCAAAGCATTCTTGGAAGCTTTTGTCCTCTCATCAGTAGTGCTCACGGCATGGAGCGCTTAAAACTTTTTCTGCTTTTGATTGTTGCTTTGTTCTGGTTCGCAAAGGGAATAATTAACATTAGAAAGTTGATGAATGCTTTTATGGAAGGATTAAGGTTACATTGTGTTTGTTGGGCTGCGCATCTATGAAGATATGTGTGTGTGTGACCACTGACCAGGCCCATACATGATACATTCCCTATGGAAGGATTCGTTGGAAATTCCCCACCAGAGTTCTTCAACATCGCACATGACAAAACTTTCTGAATTCTATGGTTTAAAATCTTAAGTCTAGTGTTTCTATGGAAGGAGCAAGGCGCATGTGACAAACTTTATGATTCATTGATTTTTAAAATCTCGTCTTCTACTCAAGTTAGAAACATGTACATTCATTTTCTGTGCATCATGGATAATGTTGCAGAGAAATATAGAATTTTATTGTTCGCTGTGATAATGAAAAGATTCTCACTAGAACGGGGCAAGGCCACAAATTTTCATGCCAAACTAAACCAGCTTCTCATTCAGATCATCTTGGGTATTACACTCTGGTTTCTATGCATTTCCTAGTTCTATTCTTCTTTTTCTTCTTCTTTTTTTTTTTTGGCAAGAATAGTTTTATTCATCTTACTGTCTTTACTACAACTTCAATGACAAAAGACGACCTGTTTGAGTACTCTTTTTTTATCCTCATGCAAAATTTCAAATAGCCGTGAGCTTGGTAAAAACTTTGCTTGTATAAATGCAGTTTACTTTGTGAGTTTGTGGTGGCACTGCATTGTGTATTCTGGTGCAGTTTCTGATAGCAACTATCACGTTCTCTGTGATTCTTCTCACAACTAACCCTTACTCTAGCCATTGACATATATGCAAGTGGTTGAAACAAACTATTATGGCTAATCACACTGTAGTCAGTAGTACTAACTTTCATGTGCCTATCGATTGTTGAATGCAGGAAGAAACTCTGGCATGAGGAGTTGACATCCAGCATTCCAGCTAGCCAGCTCTCCGGCCCAATGGAAGGCATTGTGACTGAAATCTTAGTTGTGGCAAGTGGCAGTTCTCCTTGCCTCCTCGGGCGATTGGCACCTTCATGTTCAGTTGATATAGAATACATTCTGAAATCTGAACTGAAAGTCTGTTCCCCCTTCATTTTTGAGCTGTAAAAAAAAATGTAAGAATAATCTGAACCCGGACTTCCAGAGAGCTTTGCAGCTGTTGTAGATCTGACTGCACGACTGTGGTATATATTATTGAGGACACCTTTGTAAGAGTAATGCTGCCTCCGTTTCAGGTTATGAGACGTTTTGACTTGGGTCAAAGTTAAACGGTTTAAAGTTTGACTAAGTTTATAGATAAATATAATAATATTTATAATATTAAATTAGTTTAATCAAATCAATAATTGAATATATTTTTATAATAAATTTGTTTTGGATTGAAAATGTTACTAATTTTTATACAAACTTAGTTAAACATAAAGTAGTTTGACTTTAACTAAAGTCAAAAACATCTTATAATCTGAAACAGAGGAAGTAGTTTCAAAGTAAGTTCACTTTTACACATGAATTTTATGTCCAGATCAATAGGCCATATCTCATGTGGAATTACTTGTATAGATATATTTTGCGTTGCCTTTATAAAGAGAGCCTACCTTCGTTTTTCAGGTTTTTACACAACTAAATTTAGAGGAACTGTGCTATTTCACCATGGCAATTCTACTTCGGTTCTAATTATAATTCGTTTTAAATATAAACTATTTTTGTCAATTTTTTTCGCTCGCCTTTTCACATCCTTCCATGGCTTGCGTTCTTTTTCCAGTTCAGTGTAAATGTACAACGATAGTCATTTGAGCGAGTACTCTCCTAAATTTTCTTCACAAGTTTAAAAACGATTTGTTTCAGTGCTACTAGAGGGAGGAAGCCCAAAATATAAATATACCCGCCAACTGATCTAGTAGGGTTTTTATTAAGAGCCCAATCCAATCCAATAAAAATATACAACCAAGTTGGCCGGCCAACAAATTTGTCAACACAGCTCACTGACCCCAAAAAAAAAAAATCCTTGTTGACAAGAAAAAAAACTAGTAATCGACAGCAACCGCCTCAGTAAACAGCCGCGGTTGAACGCAAAATGTCAACGGGCTTTGGCACATTCCCCCATGGTCGTCTTCTTCTTCGCTCATCCAATCCATGGGCGCACGCACGACAACAATTTTTCAACCCCAGGGGTAGCAACCGAGGGAGGGTGGGGAGGGTCATCGGGGGGCAAATCCATGATGGCCGACGCGGAGATCGATCGATCACGCCGGCGCGCGCGCCGTCGCCCTCGCCGGCCGGAGATCGCCGACGGGTAGCGTTGGTGAGATGAGATCGATCGATTCCATGGTGATGCCTCCTCCGCCACGCCGTCGCGTTGGTCTGTGTTCTTCTTCTTCTTCCTCCTCCTCTTGTTGCTTTTCCCCTGTGTCCTCCTGTTTGATGTGGCGGGAAAGCTTCCAGTTCGGAGTTTCAACTGAAGAGGCTCCCCCAATTGCTCTTCTCCCACCGTCTAATATATCGTGAGATTAGGTCTTGGTTATTGTGGGATCTCGTTTTACTATTCCGCTGGGTTGTCTGAATCGTTTAGATACCTAGATCCATCTCAGGCCTCTCGACTATACTCCATCGGATTTGGTAGTAATTTTCCTAACCAGATTCTAGAAGGGAAGTACACTCCTATATGTGCTTTTTCACAACGAGCAAAGGTTGCAAGGTGTGCTCTCAGCAACAACAGTTCGCTTTGAAATTGGGCCTTTTTTTGTTGTCATTCGGAAGTAGAGGGGTTAGGTCCTGAAAGTTACTTGCACGAATCAACCCCGGCCACACACCAGTATACTAGTACATGACAGTGACAAAACCTGATAAATTCAGAGAAGCCAGTAGGTTTTCGATTGCCATGGTGGCCATGGCCATTGACGATTGTGCCGAACAGAGTTGGTGTTTCTTGGTCACCAAAAAACACCTGCTGTTTTTTTGGATCTGATCTTGCAACCTTCAAGGAGATCGCCAAGAAAAATCATGCTTCTGCGGAGTCTTGTTTAACTCTGCTCTTCCATGCATCAGGTTTGTTGTTTCAGTATTTCTGTCTATAAAAATTTCCATCGAGTTTCTTTCATCTTGTCAGAGGAGGGTGACTGATTAACAATTTAACATGGCAGCCTGGCAGGATGAGATTTGAGTTCCAGGGTGCATCTTTCTGATGTGTTCATCCTTTCTTGAACAGTTCCCCCTTCGGTAGTTCCTTGCATGGTAGAAAATAAAATCTCCAAGGGAAAATAAGAGCAAACACATGAGAGGTAATCATAATCATCATCTATTTGGGTATCTATGATCCGTGTTACATATATATATATGAATTAATATATATGTTAAGGACCAACTTGTTGCATTTACATTTGGTCCTTACTATCTGTATAGCCTTTCCCTCTTGGCTATAAGCAGTTATGTATGCCATCAAAAGAGGAACAAAGACTAGCACCTGCAGAATTATTGCAGTGTGTGTGCCAGTTCTGTTAATATATGTTCAGCAGACACTTGCAGGAGCCTTACTACCGGCGGCTATGAAGAAGCTGCTGAATGAAGGGCGACGAGGGAGGCGTAGGCGCCATCCTTGATGTTCATCAAGGTATCGTGCTTTCCCTTCTCGATGATCACTCCATTCTTGACGACTGCGATCAAATCCGCATTTTGTATTGTAGACAAACGGTGAGCAACGATCACGGTTGTCCGGTTGACCATCACTCTGTCCAGCGCGTCTTGAACCACCCTTTCGGATTCAGCATCCAGCGCACTGGTTGCTTCATCCAGCAGAAGGATCTTGGGATCCTTCACAATCGCACGAGCGATCGCGATACGCTGCTTTTGGCCTCCAGACAACTGAGCTCCCCGCTCTCCAACTGTTGTGCCATAACCCTACAAATTTTCAGGTAAAACAAATCTTTGAGAAAAATGTTTCTAGCATTTAATCACAATAGCAAACACCAATGAAAAGAAAGAAACCTAGAAAGAAACCTGATGCGAGGAACTAATGAACTTGTGGGCATTTGCCAATTTGGCTGCTTCAATGATTTCTGATTCTGTTGCTTCTCCCTCCTTCCCATAAGCAATATTTGCTCGTACTGTGTCGTTGAAGAGGGCAGGTTCTTGACTCACCAGACCCATTTGTTGCCTCAGCCACTTTAGCTGAAACTTCTGAATGTCCACACCATCTAGCAGTATATGTCCTACGTCAGGATCATAAAACCTCTGAAGCAATGAAATTGCTGTTGATTTGCCACTACCACTCTCCCCAACAAGTGCAACGGTCTGATAAAAATGATTTGGATAGTTAGCTTTAGCAAGCATAAACATTTTGAATGTAAAGAGGTTCTTGTATGGATGGTTTCGTACCTTCCCAGAATGAATTGTCAAGCACAAGTCTCGGAATATCTCAACATCTGGCCTGGTTGGATATCTGAAGCTAACATGCTGGAACTCAATATTGCCGTGCAGTGTTTCGACAGTTACCCCTGCATCCTCACTTGGGTCTATCCTAGATTTACGATCCACAATTGCAAATATCGAAGACACAGCTGATTTTGCTTTGGAAGAATCTGATGTAAGGGTACTTGATTGCGACACCCCAATCGCTGCCATAGCAAGAGCAAGAAAAACCTGCATTCAGATGGCAGAAAAATTGAGTTCTTCATTTCAAAAATATGTGAGCGATGTTAAAAGTTTATATATGAAGTAGCTGAAGTTTAAATTCTCCTACCACTGCCGGAGTACAGAATACTTACCCTGAAAACTTTAGGAAAAGTTGTCTTGTTTTCCTCAACAAGCCGAGCACCAGCATAAAAGCTAGCTGCATATACACCAAATAGCAAGAAAAATGAAACACCAAAGCCAATTCCACTTATAATCCCTGTTCTAATCCCTGTCCTTAGGGGGCCTTCACATTTCTTCTTGTACAAATCCATAACCTTTTCTTCTGCTGAGAAGGAGACTACGGTTCTTATACTGCTTACTGCATCATTTGCCACTTGACTTGCCTCCTCATACATCATCTGCATAAACAAGTAAAGAAGTCAGGTTTTGCGGAAGTAATAATCCAGCAAAACAAACATTTCAGTAGAGGACAAACCTTTGCATCTGCACTGAAACCCTGAATGAATTTCATCTGGATCCATCCATTTAGACCAATGAGTGGTATTAAAGCTAAGATGATGAGTGATAACTCCCAGTTTGATACAAAGGCAATGACTAAACCAGCAATCAAGGTTGTTGTGTTTTGTACAACTAATTGAAGTGCATCACCCACAAGCCCCCTAACTTTAGCTGCATCAGCTGATAGCCTTGCACCAATTGCTCCACTTGAGTTTTCTGGGTGATCAAACCATTCGATCTCCATATTTACCACCTTCTCAAATGTCATCAATCTTATCCTTTTGATCAACCTGCACCCAGCTATAGAGAAAAGGTACGAACTAACTGGAAGTGACAAAAAGTATACTGCGCCAAACACCAAGAACATGGATGACCAGAACTGCGAATCTTTCCTCAGCAGATGTGGGGGTTCATAGAATGCTTTGATCACATTTGACAGCAGTATAGCAAAGATTGGGAAGATTACTCCGCTGATGACAGATGCAATGGAACCTAGTATGAGCACTGGAATTTCTGGCTTGTTCAGAGACGCAAGACGACTTAGAGGCACATCCTGTGGCATCCCATCACATAGATTATCAGAGGAACCATCCTGGATGTCAATCCCTAGGGGCATACCAAATGGTACAGAGAATGAATGGTGGCTGTTATCACGGGATGACCTCCGGCTGCGGCTAGCAGACTGATTTATTGACAATTGTTTGCCTGAACGAGCTCCAGAGTCACCCTTTCGGTCAGACTTGTCCTGCCGGTTTGCTTCCTGCAGCTTTATCAGTTGGCTGTAAGCTCCTTCAGGATCCTTCAGAAGCTCATGGTGTGGACCTGACCAAAAATGTTAAATGTTTAAGGAAAGATGCAATGGGCAACTGAGAGCTCATAAAATGGATGATTTTGATCATTGATATGAGCCTTTTGGGAATTTTACCTTTTTCCACTAATGTTCCTTGATGAATGACAGCGATGGTGTCAGCATTTCTAACTGTACTCAAGCGGTGTGCAACTATGACAGTTGTTCTGTTAGTCATGACCCTGTCAAGAGCCTCCTGCACAATCCTCTCAGACTCAGCATCCAGAGCGCTTGTAGCTTCATC